TGGGGAACTAAGATCTCGCATGCTGCACAGTGCAGCCAAAGAAACAAAACCAAAAAACCCCACAAAAAACAGCAACCATTTAGTTTGCTCATGATTTCATGGATTGGCAATTTGGTCTGGGCTCAGCTAAAGGTTCTTCTAGTCTTAATTGGCTGATTAGCACAGACTCAGCCAGGACAGCTCATTCCTGTTCCAGTGGTCTCTCATCCCGGAGCAGGATAGCTCAGGCCTGTTCACACGACAGCTGGGAGGATTCCAAGAGAATGGGCAGAGGCTACAAGACTTCTTACAGTCCAGACTCAGAACAGGTAGTGTCACCTCTGCTGTATTCTATTGGCCAAAATAGGTCATATGGCTGAGCCCAGGTTCAAGGAATGAGGAAACAGGCTCTATCTCCTGATGGGAGGAGTTCCAAAGTCACACTGCAAAGGGGCTTGCATACAGGGAAGCAAAGCACTGAAGTTATTTTGCAACCAAACTACTACAGGAGGTATTAGTGCCCCCATTTGAAACTTCCTTCCCAGGTTCAGGAAGATGAAGTGGCTAGTGAATGGAAGAATCAGGATTTAAGCAAAACCCGAAGCTCTCTTCATGCCCCAAGCTTCCCGTATGACTCCGAAAACTGGTCCTCTTTGGCCAGAAGGAACCTCCCCACTTCTGCTAGCTGAACCAGGAATCCAGCACCCTGGGCTCACAGGGAAGGGGCCCCCAAATCTGGATCTCATTCTGGCCTTTGGAAGAACAGGGCATCTTTTCAGATATTTGAGTCTAGGAAACACCTTGAACTTCAAGCCTGGAGAAGCTGTGACTGCAGTGACCTGGGGCTGGCGGAAAGACCTTCCCCTCCTGGCCTTTACACATCAGATGGCCCTAGAGACCTACTTCACTCTGTGACCCAGGCAGAGCCCACACCCTCTCGGTGCCTCAGTATAAGGATGCAAAGTGTAAAGAGAAAAGTGCTCAGCCTCTGGACTCACAGCACTGGGCTCAAATCCTGACTCACTTGCTGTCATTTCCTGGGCAAGGCCCTTGCACTCTCTGAGCCTCACATTCTCTTCTATAAAACAGGTGTGAGAGAAGAGGAGTCCCCATCTTGGGGGCTGTTGTGCGAACTGAATGAGAGAATGCACAACATAAATGCATGATGTAAATGACCTACTACCCCCAAGGTGGACTTAATAGCTGGCAGGTGGTGTTAGCATCGTGTCAACCAAACCCCCATTTTACAGAGGAGAAAACAGAAGCTCAGGCAGGTGATGTGACTTGCCAAGGCCACATAGCTAAAGAGCAGTGATGTCATCAGTGATGTACTCAGGTCTATCTGATTCCAGAAGCCAAGGTCTTACCCTCTCTAGAGTCCTAGGTTTGAGTTGCCTCTTGCAGCCATGTGACCTTGGGCAAGTCCCTTTTCTCTCTCGGTCTCATTTTTTTCATCATCTAAATAAATGATGATCTGCCTATGATGCCTTGTGCATTTTCCTCAAATGGGAAAATACATGGAAAGTGCTTAGCACAGTCCCTAGGACAGACTTGTGTGCTCAGCAATGAGAGGCTGCTATAACAGTCAGGAGTAAGTTGCTTAACTCTCCGTGTCTCGGTTTCTCTATCTGTCAAATAGAGCTAATGACAGACTTATCTCATTGGGTTGTTGTGAGGAATAAATGAGTTACTGTGGGCTAACCTCAGCACAATGCCTGGCACATGTATGCACGTCATAAGCACTTGCTATTATTTTAAAAGTTCAGAAACCTGTTCCAAGCCAGCATGAGATGATGGGGATCCCAGCCCCCCACTGGCTGAGGCTCCAGGCACTGCCTTTGCTACCATTCAGCTATTATTAGGCCCAGCGTCCTCATCTCAAATCCAGATGGGGAGCTAGAAGGGCGGGCAGGGCTGGGTCTGGCTGGCGGATGGCTGGGAACACTGCTGGGAGGCCGGTTTGGGTTTGGGCCCCACCCCGCCTGCCCTCCCTCGCCTGCAGTGGGTCCAGCCGCCACGTCTACACTTGGCTCTGAGGTCTGCACCAAACACTCCCTCCCACCGTGGCCGCCTCCTCTGGGAAGGTTCAGAGCATTTCACGGCCTCAGCACTTTTCTGCCCACCCCGGGGAGGCCAGGCCTGCGTAGAAACTATGAATTGGACACTGCATGCCTCTGGAGTCTGCAAAGGGGTCAACCACCCTCCTGTCTAGAGGTCTTCATACCTACAGTGAGGCCTACTGGGTCCACCAAGGGGAAAGGGTCCACACAACTGGGTTCAAATCCCAGCCCTACCACCGATATGCAGCGTCAACATGGACAAGTGACTTCCCCCTGAGCCTCAGTTTCTTTATCTATAAAATGGGTATAATCTTAGCACCTACCTCACATGGCTGTGGTGATGTATAAATGAATGAATAGCACATAGTAAGGACTCAGTATGTGCTCGTTATTGTTATTTCATGCTTGAGTGTGCCAGGCCCTGAGGGGGAAACAAGGATTTGGGGAGGCTGGGGATCTGGGGTACCAAGTGGCTCTACCTCCAATTGCTGTGTGACCTGAAGCCTGTTCCTTGACCTCTCTGGAACTCAGATTACCACAAGGTGGGCATCTAGGACTCTATGATGCCACAATTCAGCTGCTGGGCTCACAAGTAGTTAAGAAATATGACAAGGCCCCATGTGGGCAGAGATCCCAAATGGCAGGGTACCATGGTTAGGAGCAAGGGTTCTGGGGAATTCCCTGGCAGTTCAGTGGTTAGGACTCCACGCTTTCACTGCTGGAGCCCAGGTTCAATCCCTGGTAGGGGAACTAAGATCCCGCAAGCCACGCCATGCAGCAAAAAAAAAAAAAAAAAAAAATCAAGGGTTCTGGGTTCTAATCCTGTGTGAGGTGCTGGTGTGGCTTGGCCTTGTTGAGCCTGTCTCCTCTTCTGTATAATGATGGTTCTACCTTACAACATTCAAGCTGTGAGGTTCATGATAATAACAAAACTGCCACTCATGTGTTTTTATGGTTCCAACCCACTAGGCAGCAATTATACAGGGCCGCTGCCATAAGCCTAGATTACGCCAGGCATCAGGGGACTCCCAGAAGTGATAAGTCCAGGCCGGCCCATCCAGAACCCTCTCCTTTTTCCATGAGGCTGGTCTCCTGGGGTTCATCACAACCCATTGGGCATCTCAGATCCCCTTCTCCTTCCCAGGGCTCACTTGCCTCCAAGTTTCCTACATTGAAGAGTCACTCCTTTTCCATCCTTCAGCACCTAGGGCCGGGCCCCCTTCTCCTCCAAGGCCGGAAGTTTATCTGACACTGTCGCTCAGAGAACACAGCAGCTGGATGACATCATGGAGGAGACAGCCTTGCCAAACTGGTTTGCCAAACAGATCCCCAGCCCCACTCCTGTGGCTGCTGAACTTGGGGGCCTCCAGTTCTGCTCACGAGGGAGAGGGTCACAGCCCTTGGATCCAGCCAACCCCAGCAAGAACCAGTTCTTCTCCTCCAGGGTCCCCATGCTCCAGCCTCGCCTACCTGACTTTTCCCCAGCAAAGTCCTCAGAGTCCTACCTGATTTCCTTTACTCTCATGCTGTGCCCTCTCCAGGTTGCCTTTCCCCCCCGCTTCCACATGCCAAACAGCAAGTGAGGGCTTTTTCTCCACAACTTTTAGAGTCCAGATACCATCTCTCCCCCTACCCTCACCAGGCTGTGAGACCCCAACAGCAGGCCCAACTCCCATCCAGCTCTAACCCCTCTACCCCTCCCACTGCCCAGCAGGCTCTAGACCCCTCATAGGCCCAAGGTCTTGGCCTTGGCTGGCCTCACAGCCACTTGTGAGCACATCCCAAGGTGGGGTCTCCCTGAAAGTCTTGGAATTTTATGTTGTCTAGTTTGGTGGGGAGAGGGCTTAGAAAGCTCAGGCCACAACTCCCCCATCTTGCAGATGAGGAAACTGAGGCTCCAAGGGGAACAAAACTTTGCCTGGGCTGGAGCCAGGCCTAAGACCCAACACTCCTCTTGCCTCCTGACCCCAGGACTGCAGGGGTTTCTCTGCAGGACACCAGGGAGGGGGAGGAGAAGCCAGGGAGATTCAGGGATCTGGCACTGCCAGCTTGGTAAAAATATTTATTCTCAGACTGAGAGACTGGAGCAAAATATTACCCTTGGCCCCTGAGCTGCTCCAGCTACTCCCTACTCTGCCAGTCCAGGGTTGGACCTGGAGAAATCTGGACCCTTTCTGGGAGGGCCTGAAGTGAGCCAGTCCAAGCTCCTCATTTTATAAATGGACAGACTGAGGCCCAGGCCTCCCCAGTGCCCATAAGACATGTTCACCCTACTCACCTGTCACTCAGGGCCTTTCACAGATGGAAGGTCTTCCATCCCCATTTCCTGCTCCATCCACAGCCCATCTCTCCTCCTTTTCCCACTTACAAACCTCCTGGCCTTTATTCACACTGTCCCCCTGCCACTAATACTCTTTCATGTCTTTCCCCCTCTTCTCTGTGGGATGGATTTCTTTGCACCCTTCCTCAAGGATCAGTTTGCTCCTCCTCTAAGAAGTCTTCCAGGATTTCCTCCATCCTAGAAGCAGCAAGGTGGAGGAAAGGGGCTTTAGCATGGGGCAGAATTCCACTCAAGTTTGAATGCCATTACCAGCCAAGGTGCCTTCACCTCCCTGAGCTTCAGCTTCCACCTCTGTAGAATCCGGGTAATACTTATCTTGCACAGTGGTCAATTTGCATGCAACTGGTGCTCAGTAAACACCAGGACCCTCCTCATGGGACGTTTACTCCTTCCTGTGCTGTGGCTGCAAGCTTCTCCAGAACCACACCGGGCTGCCCTTTGATCTTTGTTTCACCACCATCTCGTCCCACCCCTTTCAGATAGGAAGGGAAAGCAAGTAGGTCTGGAGGAGGACCCCAGCCCTGAGGGCCTGATGGAGGGGCAGGACCCATGCTTATCTTCAGTACTACCAGGAACTAGTGAGCGCGTGTGTGACACAAAGTCCGCTCTCAGAAACTCACCTGTGCCGTTCCTCCCTCCTGGGGGGTGGGGGCAGAGCTAGTACGAAGCAGGCCATTCACTGGAGCCAAGAGCCGCCACTCAGGTGGCTTACGTATGTCCCGCCCCAGGAGGCTGTTCCAATGGGCGCGCGAGGTTTGAATAGGACCGAGTTGGCTTTGCAGGGCGCTGAACCTTGTTCTGGAGAATAAGATGACATCTAAGTTGGGAATTCCCTGGCGGTCCAGTGGTTAGGACTCAGCTCTCACTGCCAAGTGCCCAGGTTTAATCCCTGGTCGGGGAACTAAGATCCCACAAGCCACGTGGCTAAAAATAAATAAAAAAATAAAGTTTATTTAAAAAAAAAATGACATCTAGGTTAACCAGAGGGAGCCTACATGGGGCCTTCTCAGGAGAAGGGGACCTCGAACTAAAGCCCCAAATTGGGCTCTGTTTGCTCCTCTTCCCGTGTGACCTTAACAAGCCCCTTCCCTCTCAGAGCCGTGGTTTTCCCATGTGTAAAACGGGACCACCTCTCAGGGATGTGGGGATGCAGTAAGATGATACCTTTAAAAGAGTCTCAGAGTGGATACTGGCCCTCGCTCTAGATGGGGGCAAGGTGTGGTAGTGGGTGGTCACAGAGGATCTGGACAGTGGGGCTGAGGGGCTCTGCTGGAGCAACAGGCTGAAAGCACTTCCCCACAACCCCATATCACAGTGGTTAAAAGCACAGATTCTATACTCAGAAGGTGCTGGTAGGAACCACAGTTCCACTACCTATCAGCTGTTGTCCTCACCTGTAAAATGGGACAGTAATCCTGGGCTCAAATGGTCGTTATAGGGACTATATGCCTGGTACATGGCAAGTACAAAAAAATGAGTCTATATTATTATTGTTATTATTTGACAGACAGGATTCCAGACCCCACCTCCCAGGCTCCAACTCCCTTTGATGTCCATGGAGACCTGTGGGAGGCACCCTGACCTCTATCACAGGGGACAGAGTGGTTTTCTCCAGTGGGTCTGAGCTCTTGGGTCCCCTGGTTGATTCCTCATGTTGTCTTGGGCATGTTGGCTCTCTCTGGGTCTCAGTTTCCTCCATTTGTTGAATTCTGGACTTCGTGTTCCCTATTTAACTCCACAGCGCTGCAAGAGGCCTGACGCTGAGGGGCTTGGAAGCGAGAAGCATGACAGATAAGGTCAATATCTGTGCAAAAGTGTGTCGGCTGGGGAAGGGGAGCTGTGTGATTGACCCTGCTCCATCTGAGGTGGTCCTTGAGGTACTTCAACGTAGGGTCAAGGTGCTGCCGGCCACTTAGTCCCTGCTCTGAGGTGACCCGGACCAGGTGTGCCGAAAGCAGCCTGGGGGCAGCGGCCAAGCCAGGGCACTGAAGCGAGGAGGGGGCGGAGTCGAGTGAGGGGACAGGGTCTCACGAACAAAGAGGAGGGCGGAGAGGGACAGTCCTGAAGGCTCCGCGAATAGTACGATCCCGGGCCACTTACCGCGGCTTTGGGCGCCCTCCCTGACTTTGGCGCAAAGCTGCATCCTCCTGGTGACGCCCACCCGACCAGCGAAGGCCGCTTGAACAGTGGCCCCAAGTCTGCAAACCCCTACAACCTAGGCCCGTGAGGGGCGGGGCCTCTTCTAGGGGCGTGGCCGTCAAATTGAATTTCCCCAATGGGGCACGAGGGTGGGCGGGATCCTCCCCAGGATTGGTTGGCGCCATGGCGCGGGGCGGGACCCGCGGGGCTGCTGGCGCGGCTGGACGGGCGGCGCTTGCAGAATCCCGGGGACGGTTGCTGAGCGGGCTTGGCATCCCGGTCGCGGCGCCTTCCGCCTGACCGCTCCTAATCCATCTGTTGGATCCCGAACGACCTAAGCTGAGCCCGTGCCGGGCGGGCGGGCCGGACTAAGAGGTGGGTGTGCGGACCTCTGGGCGGCAGCAGGATCCCCGACGGGTCCGAGGGTGGAACCCGGATAGGTGGACTCCCAGGGTTATGGGACTCCTGAACCTTGGAGCCCCCACCCATCCACAGGGGCTCTAACCCATGCGATAAAGTTCTGAGGCCTGGGGAAAAGACGCTCACGAACCTCCAGGAGGCTCTACGACCCTCAGGGGTGCTAGTCTGTGGGGGCAGAAACCCTGAGGAAGCTCCTACGTTCCTCTGAGACCCCTCGCAATCTTCGGGGACCTCACACTGTGTGACAGGGAGCCATGGAACTGGAGTGGAGCAGCGGCAGGAATCCCTGAGGAGAAAGAGACTTCCCTGGGAGTCCTAGATTCTGCGTTAGGGACCCCTGCCCCTCAGAAGACATGGGGGAACTCAGAGTGTCCACAGAACCCAAGTCTGGTGATTGCTAAGTGAAGGACCCCAGCAGAGGGCGGCTGGGAGGTTGCTACCTGTCCGAGCCTACAAGGATGGGAAAAGCAAGCAGCGACTTGAACAGGCAGAGTCCGAAGAACCCCAACTGTGTGGACTAGGACCTTCCCCAGACCCATTCACTGGATGGGATGACTCGACAAGTGACTGGGGAGGGGGAAGGGATGACTGAGTGATGAATCAACAGGAGCGGGGGCAATCCAGGGGCCATTTCAGTCACCATACATTAACTAAGCACCTACGGTGTGTCACGCTGTGGGCCCTCAAATTCCAGAAAGATATTAGGGCTGCAGGGGGAAGGAAAGAGCTACACTGGGAGGCTGGGTCAGGATTTAGGGGGCCATTTTGATAGGCAGTGATAGAGCAAGAAGGAGTGTCCTGAGCCCCTGAGGGCACTTTGGAAGGGGACTTCAGAAGCTAGAGGTGGCCAAGATTAAATCCATTCCCTGCCCTCTGGGTCTTTGGGATCCTCCTTCCCCCATGACAATCCTCTGGTCCTCTCCAATCCTGTTTGCCTAAGTCCAGAAGCTGGACGGATCAGTTTCTGAAGGCTCTTCCAGCTGAATTGAATTCTAAGTGTGTGAACTGGCAGGAGGAGCGGGGTGCCTGGACACCTGGCTTCATGAGGTCAGGGCAGTTGGCATCAGGGGGAGGGCGGGAAGGGGAGGAGTGGAGAGGGGTGTGTACAGAGGGCTGTCCTCAAGAATTAGAAGACAGAATGTTACCTCCAATGGCTTAAGTTACCTGGGGGAATGAGAGTGGCAAAGGCAGCAAGGACTTGGATATGGGTTTAGCCCATAGCCAGAGGCTGAGCTTTTGGGGTGAGTGGGGGCTGGGCAGGCCCTGGGGATGGGTGGGTGGGGCAGGAAGCTGTGGAGTGTGGTGGGCACCCCCTGGTGGTGAGCACAGCTTGGGTGGGCCTTACTGGGCCCTGGCTTCACAATCCAGGTCCCTACCCTCCCTGTTTGATGCTTAGATATGTCAAGGGCCCAGCTTAGGCCACTCAGCAAGCTAGCAGTCCAGCTGGCTGGACTGGAACCAGGGACTCCTACTCTTGGTTTGTTGAGTTTTCCAGCACACTACCCTAGGGCAGAGGGCACCTCCCAGCCAGGAGTCACATCACAGATAAGGATCAAACACCAATGGATAATCATGGCTTAGAGGGGGAAACTGAGGCACAAAGCCCAAGTGCCTGTGGTTTCTAGAGGCCCCAGAAGGCCTGATTCATGTCTGTCCCCTGCAGAATTCCCTGAGCTGGTGTCAGCTGCCAAAGGCACTGGGGAACTCACCAGGAGGCGACGGATGGAGCTAGGGGCCAGCAAGATGGCGGACGAAACATTAGCTGGGCTGGATGAGGGAGCCTTGCGGAAGCTGGTAAGTGGTTCCATTATCCCTACTATGAGGACAGACAAGACAGGCCAGAGAGGCAGGGCCTGTCCAGGATACCTCTCAGCTGACAAGAGGAGGTGATGGGGGAGGGCGCAGGAGAAGGGCTCCGGGGAACAGGGCTGGGGCCTGTTCCGCGTGGCCGATGCAGAGGCCTTGGTGGCATGTGCTTGTCCATGCCAGGTGCTGAGGCCTTGTTCCTCCCAGCCCCCCACTGCCACCACCTGTTTAAATAGTAACTGGTAAGGACTCACCCATGTGCAGTCACAGGTGTGGGGAGGCTGGATTTGCCTCTCTCAAGCAACAGCCTGGGCAGTACCCACCCCTGGAGGTTGGCCCAATGATAACAGTAGCAGCAATGATTAATAAGCCAGGGCACAGCAGGGAGCAGTCTGGGCGCTAAGCACACCATCTCACAGAATGGTTACAGTAGCTCCAAGAGCCAGGAGGACACTGAGGCTCAGACAGGTGAAGTCACCTGCCCAACGGCACCCAGCTCGGAAAAGGGTGTGCCAGGATCCAAACAAACCCCAAAAGGGGTCATGGGGGACCAAGAGACCTGGATAAGTCAAGTCCAAAAGAGCCCATAGAGAGAGACAGGCCTTGGGGACCCTTATGAACACTGTGACATCTAATCTGTCATTTTTCCCACTCTGAGCCTCAGTTTCTTTATCTGTAAAATGGGAGGTGGGGGGAATGTGTGTGAACATAATATCTAGGTCCTACAGTTGGCATGGGGATGGAATGAGGCATGGGCCCAGATCTTGGCGTGGAAGAAGGATGGGCCCACTCTATCCCCTTTCCCCAGCTTCTTCTTGAAGCCCGCCCTCCCCCCCAACACACATATCATGCACAGAGAGGATGTGGGGCAATATAGCAGGGCAGGCATGTGCCCACCAGCAAGGGCAGGGTGCACTGGAACTGGAAGAGGGGCCAGAGCTCCGCCCCCCAGCCCCTGACCCTTGTCCAGCGGGTAAATTAAAGATTTACCTTCCCTGGGAGAAGGCAAATGACCCACCCCACCCCCATACCATTCCTCTGGAGGCAGGGGCTGGAGCCAGCTAGCTCAGCCCAGTCACTGGGCAGTGCCCAGCCACTGCCATCATCTACCCAAGGCACTCGGCCTCTGTGTCCTCGGACAGCACCTTAGACTTTGGGTGTCTGCCACCGCCACAGGCGCTGTGCGCAGCCTGAGGGAGATGGGCTTCCAAAGGGTCCCACCACGTCAGCTCGACCTCCCATCAGGCAGTCAGAATCCTAATGTGGGTAGTGGAGAGAAAGCCAGGCCTTTGCTCATCCCCTTCTCTAGGGGTCCACTCTGAGGCTCAGGGTTCTCCAGCCGCCACCCCCCACCCCATGCGGGTTTGGGTGCTGGAAAAGGGTTTCAGAGAAGCCGGAGCATTGGCTGTAGTCCGCCCTCCCCCAACCCCGGCCCCCTCCCTGGGAAAGGACTAGCAAGGCCCCGCCCCTCGTCTCGGGACCCCGGAGGTCTTTCCCATTTCGGGACCGGGGTCCTCCACCGCCGGGCGCCCGCCATTACTGCGCCCCAGCGCTGCCGAGGGTCCCGCCCCGGGCGCCGGCCTCCTGGCAGGAACTGAGGCGTCCGGAGCCGGGTTCCTCCCCGCGGGGCCGGGCCTTATAAGGGAAAGCTGACCCGAGCCCCAGCGTCCGGCCGATCTGGGGACCCGGGGACCGGCTCCCAACCTCGGCTCCTGCACATTCCTGCGAACAGGGAGGGGGGCTGTGCGGGATGGAGACACCTGGGGACACGAGCACCACGTGCTCCTCCGCCACATATAGGGACGCCCTCCGCCTCGGTCCCGGGTTCGAGATCGAGCTCTGACACTCACTAGCTGGGTGACCTGTGAACCTGGGTTTCCTCTCTGTAATCGGGGATGTTAAAGCAGGCGGAACCTGGGCGGCTTCCTGTCCTGCTGGCTCCTGGCTGGGCGCCTTGCACCGGGCTGCGTGGGAGAGGCGTGGGCGGTGCAGGCGGCTGCGGTCGCGGGGCCCGCGGGCCTTCAGCGCCCCCTGGCTAGGCCACGCTTCACTGCCGGCCGGTCCCCCATCGGTCAACTGGAGGAGCTGGGACTGAGCGAATGCCTGGAAAATCTCCTCCGTAGTGCTGGTGGGGAGATTGAGGCCCAGGAAGACGCCGGGGCCTGTCAGACGCCCCCAGCAGCGAGGGTACAAAGTACCCGGAGGCCCGGCCCCCCGGGAAGAGGAAGCACCCTCTTTCCTCCCAGGAGAATTTCACTGGGCAGTTTCAGAAACCCCCCCATCTCCTTCCCTTTCCCCCAGTGGACAATGGCGCTTTGTACTTCCTTCCCTCCCAACAACAGCCCCCTCCACTCAGGATGGTGGGGCCTGAGAGGACGGGGAACGCAGGACACACATCAGGGACACTGTGGGCGGACCTTTGTCTTCAGGCCCAAAGGGAAGGGTCATGCGGGAGGGTGACCAGTGGGATGAGGTTGTCCATTCCACAGCCCTGCCCCACCCACTCGGGGGATCAGACAGAGGCTCCCATTTTCCAGAGGGGGACACTGAGGCTCCCAGGGGTTGCAGAAGTGACCAAGTTCCCACATCAGGCTTTTTTCAGGGAGGAGAACCCCATCTCTGGAGCCCAGGGGGTTGGGAAGGGACACACAGGAGACAAAGGGCTAGTCATTGCATCTCTGAGCCTCTTTACCCTCTGCACAGGAGGGTCTGGACCAGCTGTCCCCTCAAGCCTGGAATCTCCTAGTGTACCACGGAGGGCTCTGGGCCTGAGTCAAGGCCAGGACTGAGGGTGGGAAGGTGAGCCTTCTCCACCCCCCCACATGATAGGCCCCCTTAAGCCCCAGGGCCTCTCTAGTCCAGGCTGGAAGGGTCCCCAATATAGTACAAGGATCTTCAAGGTACCCACCATAGCAGACAGACCCCAGCCACAGAGATATCCTCAGCCCAGGGAAAGCCCTGGAGTCATGGAAACCTGGGTTCAAATCCTGGCTCAGGTCACTTGACCATAAGCAAATCACTTCCCCCTGAGCCTCAGTTTCCTCATCTGTCAAATGGGAGTAATAAATTGCCTAGGGTTTCTGTGAAGTTAGGACAAGTAAGGGGCTCAGCACAGGATCCAGCACATGGTTTCTCAGTATATGTTACAGATGCCTCTGGGTATCTTGTCCTCACTTGCCCTCACTTCTCTCTCTCCCATCCTGACTGGTTGGAACCAACCATACATAGCTCCGCAAGGTGGGGGGGGGACCCCAAGTCACTGCCCCCATCCTCACCCACTGCCCTAAAGGGAGGCCATTGTCCCGTCTGACAAATGAGATGTTAACCAAGACCAGGGATGTTAAGGATATGATCCTGACCACCCAGCCAGGACTGGATTGGGGCTGGAGCCAGCTGGGGGTCCTGGCTTGAGCCTTCCGGGAGCCCTCCCATATCTCCTCAGGAATGTGAAGACTGAAGGCTCCCTGGAGGGCTCTGTCACTTGTCTCTACCCTCTTAAGACTGGGACAAGTGAGCTCATGGCTAAGCTGGGCCAGCCCACACTCCCTGCTGAAACCTCTCCCCCTCCCACCAGGCTCCCCTGTAGATCAGGAAGGAATGATGGGAGAAGAGTCTAAAAAGGAAGGGAGTAGAGGGTTCCTGGGCCTACCCCTGAATGATTTGGGGGTGGGGGCGGAGGAAATCACTCTGCCTATACTTGCTCCCACCTGGCGCACACCCACACTGGAGGCTTATCTCTGCCATCACCTTCCTGGGGGCCCTGGGCCTGTCCTCTCTCCCTTGAGCCACAGAGGCTCTGTAGGGGGTAGAGGAGTGAGGGGGGCAACAGGATTGGCTGACTGCCCAGAGAAGGTGCCCTTTCCTGGACCTGGTTAGACCAGCCACCCCCAATTTCCCAGGGAGTGACAGGCTAAGAAGCTGGTGGGAGCGCCTGTCCCCCATGGATGCCCTCTCTAGGGCCCTGGGTGGACCCTAGTGCACCCAGGGGTGTTGGCCCTCCCACTCTGAGCCCCGGCCCCTTTGCCCCTTCAGTAGTGGCTAGAGCAGGACCAGTGCAGAGAGAACAACAGCCCCCAGCCAGGCAGGGAGCTATGACTCCTGAGGGCCTGCCCCTGCCTCAGTTTCCCCATCTGTCCAGTGTGGACGAGGCTGCCACCCATCAACAGGGCTGTGGTACTTTGGGAGTCTCTCATGCTTACAGCTAGATTCCAGCAGCCCAATCACCCTTCCCTCCCCAGGGACACTGTTAGGGGCCCATAGGATGGCCTCCCTCCTCCTGCCACGACTCCCTGGTTCTTGGGGGTTTGATGAAGGGCTCTAAGAGGCAGGAGTCGAGTCACAGGAATGAGCGCCTGACTTGGCATCTGGCACAGGTGGGTGGTTGCTGGCTGCCCACTCTGTGAATCTTAGTCCACGGTGGGGTGTCCAGAAGCCCTCGCTGCATGATCTGAGTCTCCCCCTGAGACCAAGTTTGGGTGGGCAGGCAGGCACATGACGGGCTTGGGGCAGAGGGAATGGAGACAGACCACTCATTGTGCCCCAGGCCAAGCCGTGGGCGGCCAGTGCCCGCCCTCCGTCCCTGGCAGCCAAAATGACCTGCCCCTCACCACCCCTTGCCCTGCAGCTGGAGGTCACAGCAGATCTAGCAGAGCGGCGGCGCATCCGCTCAGCCATCCGGGAGCTGCAGCGGCAGGAGCTGGAGCGCGAGGAGGAGGCCCTGGCATCCAAGCGCTTCCGTGCCGAGCGGCAGGACAACAAGGAGAACTGGCTGCAGTGAGTGGCGAGGGGTTGGACATGCAGGTGGGGCTGAATGTGCCAGGGCTCAGCTCGTGTTGTGCAGGCAGGCATGAGCCATGTGTCTGCTGCCCATCTGGGTGTGCAAATGGCAGCGCAGGCATGCATTTGGAGTACACAGGGATGTTGGTGGGCACGGACCACATGCCGGTCATGGTGTCCTGGCCACGCCCATGTGATATTAGCACTCAGGTCCATGGGCGTGCATGTGCCAGCGTGTAGCCAGAGGGTGTGCACAGCTACCTGCCCCTCTGCCAAGGTTCCAGGTACCCTGTCCTGGCCTCTGCCCTCAGCCCACATCCTCTATGACCTGGCCCTGGCAATGGAGGTTATAGTCATGGTGTCCCTGCAGCTCTCAGCAGCGGAAGGCTGAGCAGCAGGCTGCTCTGGCACGGCTGGCAGGACGGCTGGAGTCCATGAGTGATGTGGAGGAGCTGACCACACTGGTGAGGCCTGGGCCAGGGCAGGGGATGGGGGCAGGGCAGGTGAAGACCTGGACTCCACATACCCGTGGCCCACCCCTCACCTACAGCTGCGAGGCGCTGCTGAGTACGAGGAACGCAAGCTGATCCGAGCCGCCATCCGCCGTGTACGGGCCCAGGAGATTGAGGGTACGTGCCCTGCCCTGGCCCCACCCCTGCCCTGCTGCATGCTGCCCCCAGCAACGCCTCACCCTGACCCCCTGCCACTCACCTGACACTTCTCCCTTTCCCTCCAGCCGCCACATTGGCTGGAAGGTTGTGCAGCGGGCGTCCCAGCAGTGGCTCAAGAGAGGACAGCAAGGGGCGGGCAGCACACAGGCTGGACCGGTGTGAGGTAAGGGGTGTGGGCAAGGTCCTGTGCCCATGGACGCCAGCAGCACAGAGCGCCTATGTGTCTTTGCTAGATTGGTACTTAACTGAGGGGGCCCCCAGCTTGTGTTTGGGGGACAGTGGGACTCTGTCAGGCCTCTGCCCACTCTCCCAGGCAACTTCTAGTCACATGTCTCCACTCCAGAGTTTGTCTCTACCCAGGCCTCCCCCGCAAAACCAGCTTGTCTACACTGCTCCCAGGTTCCTGACTGTCACTCATTACCACCCTGTTGACCTCCCTGCTGGCCTCCCCGCTTCCACACCTACCTTCCATCCCCACACTGGCCATCCAGCCTCCACTCAGCAGACAGAGGGATCTCCCTAAAATGAAAATCAGACCCTGGTACTTGCCCAGCTTAAACCATCTGAGGCTGCCCCTCCCCCTCCATACAGCCCAGTTCCTTACCTTGGCTTATCAGGTCCTGCTGTCAGGGGCCAGTGTCGGCTCTGTTCTCCAGGGAGTGTGGGTGAGAGGTCAGGTCGTGCAGGTTCCCTAAGTGGCCAGCAGAGGCCGCTGGGTCCCTGGTCCTGGCAGGACTACCCACTAACCCCATAATTAACCAGGCAGAGGCCAGGGGTCAGGGGCCTCCACGCCAGAAATTGATTAAGTCTGGGAGTCCCCAGCAGGTCTCCTGCTGTCCCCAACCCCTGCCATTAGGATCTGGTCATCTCTGAACTGCCCTTGACTAGGCAGTGCCAAGAGGTTGGGAAGTGGGGATCAAAGACGGCCCATGGTGTGCCAGTGACCGTGCTTGTGCAGATGTGCCTGCAGGAAACCGTGTCCAGCCCCTCTGCTTTGCATGCCCTGCCCTGGGTGCCTGCCAGCCTGGAGAGCCTTGGCCACATCCTGTGGGTCTCCCACGGGTCTCCCGCAGGTGCCAAAGCCAGAGGAACAGGAGCAGCAGGCAGAGGTCCCAGAGCCAACTCCAACCCCCAATGGCACCAGCCATGACGTGACGACAGTGACACTACTGCTTCGGGCCCCACCTGGGGGCACACCCAGCTCACCTGCCTCAGCCGGCAGTTCACCCACCACTACCTCTCCTGAGCCTCCACTGGAGCCTGCCGAGGCCCCACGCCCTGCCACTGAGGCTCTGGGTGGCCCCAAGCCACCTCCCAGCCCGCCCAGGGCTGCCAGCCCTGAGCCCCAGGAACCTCCAGCCACCCCCAGCACGGAGGGGCAGGTGGTCAACAAGGTGAGTCTAGATGAGGGACAGGGATGCTAGGCAGGTGAGCTCCCCAGTCTGGGAGTCAGGCCCTGCCCATGCTGTGTCTCCCCTGCAGCTCCTGCCTGGCCCCACAGAGCCCCCTGCTGCTGATGGCCCTACCAAAGGTCCCTCCGACACAAAGAGAGCAGGTAGGGTTCCAGCAGAGATAGCTAGGGGCATCTGCCTCCCTGGGCCTCCCCTTCCCTGCCTGGAAAATGGGTTCTTGTGCCTAGATGGCTCCAGTGCCCCTCAGGTCCAGGCAGGCTCTGACACTCCTCCCACTGCTCCTGAGGTGTCCCCACCCCTCCCCACCCCCCCACTCCCGCACCCATGGCCAGAGGCCTCCCTGCAGCCTTGAAAGGCAACAGGCCTCAGGCACATTCTTTTCCCCAATAAGGGAGTGCGCCCATCTCCCAGCTGGAGCCGTGGGCAGTGCTGGCCAGGGGGGTGTCCACCATCCCCATCAGCAGGGAGAATCTGGGCATCCTTCCTCCAGCCCAAGCCTAGCCCCAGCCCCCAGGAGTGTCCAAGTTATCCCGGGGTCGGGGAAGGAGGGGCCTGTAAGAGAGACGCAGCTGAGTGGGGAGGCTAGGAGCTGTGGGAGGTGCAGGATGGTCTGGGGAGGCTGGGGAGGTTGAGGTGCAGGAAGGGGTTGGGAGGCTGAGGAGGTGTGGAAGAGAGGACTATGAGAGGTGGACCCCACCATCCACTCTCCTCTCTCTGCGCCCACATGGCTGCCACCGCCTTCCCATGATGCCAGACCTGGCTGGCCCTCGCCCCTGCCAACGCTCCCTGTCTGTGCTGAGCCCCCGCCAGCCAGTCCAGAACCGAGGTACTGCCAGTTCCCACAACCCCGGGCTCTGGGCAGTCCCTGTCCCATCCAACCACTGACAGCCCTCCTGTCCCTTCTAGAGCCCACCCCCCTTGCCAGCGGACCTTCCCTGTTCCAGCGGGCTGGCTCCGTACGGGACCGTGTGCGCAAGTTCACATCCGATTCGCCTATGGCTGCTGGGCTCCAGGAAGGCCCACTCCGGGCAGCCCTAGGTCCCTCGACCCCTGCAAGGCTCCCAGGCTCCTCCCACATCAGCACCACCCCTGCCTCCTCCTCCAGGGGCCCCTCCTCACGGGGCCCCAGTGACACCTCCTCCCAGTTCAACAAGGATCAGCGAGGAACAGCCCGGCCCCTGGCCCAACTTCAGAGCTGCCCCAGGGAGGAGGGCCCCAGGGGGCGGGGCTTGGCTGTCAGGTCCCTTGAAAACAGAGCAGGGGGGCCCATGGCCCGCTCAGAGGCGCCCAGTGCCCCGCTAGCCGTGGCCGTGGGCACTGCTGAGCCAGGGGCCAGTATGAAGACCACATTCACCATCGAGATCAAGGATGGCCGGGGCCAGGCCTCCACGGGCCGGGTGCTGCTGCCCACAGGCAACCAGAGGGCAGGTAGGCCTCCCCGCTGCCTCCCCACTGCTGGGGATGACTGCCTGCAGCCACCCAGCTCTGCACATAGGACAGATGCTGTGGTCAGGGCTCAGGGTGTCTCCAGAGGGTGCACTGGGCGCCATCAACCTGGACTGGAATTACCCTCACCCCACCTGATCCTGACCATAGTCCTTCTCCCTATCCAGAACTGATGCTGGGGCTGCAGGCGCCCCCCACCCTCCTTAGCACCAGCAGTGGGGGCAAGAGCACCATCACGCATATCAGCAGCCCTGGGAACCTGGCTCGGCTGGGCAGTGTCACTCACGTCACCAGCTTCAGCCATGCCTCCCCTGGTAGCCGAGGAGGCTGCAGCATTAAGGTGAGCCCTTCCTCACCCCACCAGCCTCACCATCAGCCGCCTCATGTAGACTGCTTCAGGGTGCAGGGCTCTCAGGGCTCCTCTGCTCTGCTCTTCCCCTACAGCACACACAGGAAACTGAGGCCCACAGAGAGAAGGTGACCACAGTCCACAGACAGTTGGTGGCAGAGCTAAGGCCAGACCCCCACCTATCAGCCACTAGACATGTCAGAAGCTCACTCTGTACTGGCCTTAAGCTTCCCACATGATGATCTCTGGTCCTTACTCCAGAATTGGTCGGTTCATTCCTCGTGAACAGATGGGACAACTGAGGCTCAGAGAAGGGTAATAAGGGCTTGCCCCCCTCTTCCTGTAGCAGCCCCAGTGGCCCTGCTCCCAGCCTATACTGAACCTCAGCCCCAAGGTGCAGAGCCGTTCATCTGCTCATCCAAGATCAGCCTGGCCCGTTAGGAGATTGGAGATTAGTGATTACCATCTGCGTCAACATCTCGGGGTGGGGTGGGGGCCTGGGCAGAAGCACTGAGGGGGGACAGGCGAGGGGGTGCCAGTCAGGTGAGGCAGCAGCCTAGCAGGTGCCACGGGAACTGAATCTGCCGCACCCTTCCATTATTCATTCTGGAGCCCGGGATCAGCTGGCTGGGAGCTCAGCCTGGGAAGGGTTCCCCAGCGGGCCGCCCAGCTGCCCAGGTAATGGCCTCTGTGCTGTTCCAGGGGCTGAATGGGACTTTGAGGTGAAATGGCTAGAGCCAGCTTTGGGCTTTCTCAAGGGTGATAGGGAGAGGGTGGGGGCAGGAAAGCACCCTTCACCTCACAGAGCAGGACCTAACTGCTCTCTGCCAAGGGAGTGAGGAGAGGGTGGCTGAGGCCCTTGGGGTGGATGGGAGGTGCCACAGGGAGCGCCAGGTATGACCACCTACTTGCCTCAGTTTCCCCAGCCAGAACCAAGGGGAGGCAAATCGTGTGCCTGTAATGCACTTGCTCAGAGTCTGTGGTTGGATCTGAGCACCAGAGGCAGGCAGAGGACATTTATCTCAGGGATAAGGCACTTGCTACTACAGATTGCTTGAAGTCCCGCCTCTCTGTGCCTCCATTTCCCCCATCGGTTCAAAGCTTTCTAAAACAGCATGGCATGAGGGCAGAGGACGCAGGCTCTGGAGTCTGGCAGACTGGGTCCTCACGGCTAATGCACGTGGTGGCCCAGACAGGCCCATGCCTTACTCCCTGCCTCAGTTTCCCCACCTATGGGGCATGGGGCCCCGGCCTCGGCAGTCCTTCAGAACCTGTGCAGACTTGCTGTACTGCCAGTCTGTGATCTCTGCAGGGCCAGGGCCAGGCCTGGCGGTCCGCCTGCTTGGGCAGGCCACCCCTCCCCCACTGCCCCCTCCAGAGGGAGCCCAGAATAGGTTTCTATTTGGGCTACAGCCCCAGCTGGCAGGTGGCGGGCTGGGAGGCCAGCAGGGGCGGGGCAGGCCCACTGCCCTTGCCTTCGCCCTCAGGCCAGCTGCAAAGACTGACTCTGCCAGACAGAAGCAGCAGTCCCTACCACTGCCCCCTTCGTCACCCCACCATAAAGCCCCCACCATCACCATGCCGGGGGTACCGGGGCCCAGGTCTGAGCTGGCCGCAGCCCTCGAGGAGAGATTGGGCCGGGCGTTGGAGGAGCTGCGGGCAGTGGCGGAGGCAGGCCGGGCGGCAGTGACCCAGGCAGCTGAGGCAGCTGCCTCGGCCGTGGAGCCGGTGGCCCGGGCAGCTGAAGAGCTGCGGGCGGAGACAGCAGCGCTGAGCCGGCGGCTGGATGCGCTGGGCAGGCAGGTGGAGGTGCTGAGCCTGCGGTTGGGGGTCCCGCTTGTGCCTGACCTTGAGCCCGAGCTGGAGCCCAGTGAGCTGCTCCTGGCCGCTGCGGACCCTGAGGCCCTCTTCCAGGCGGCCGAGGATGCTGGGACCCCTGTGGCCCACCCGCCTGCCTTCAGCACCCGCCGCCGCTCCTCTGCAAGCCCTGCCCACAGCGGCAGTCTCGTAAGTCCTTACGGGCTGCAGGGAGGCGGGTGGTTTTGAGCCAGGCTCTGCCTCTGCTCAGTGACCCTAGGTGGCCTACCACCTTCTCTGAGCCTCAGTTTACCTATCTGTACAGGGGACTGGGGCACTAGCGCTCCAAGACTGAGGCGAGATGGTGCCAGGCTCCTGGCCCTGAGGCACACGTGGCGGCTGCCCTGGCAGCCCCTGGCGGGGGCCCAGCCTCCAGCCCCACCCCCACTCCCTGCCCCTGCCAGGCCGAGCCTCCCTGAAGCAGCTGCCACCTCGGCTCTCCTTACTCTTACAGCAAACAGAGAGGCCCTGCCAGGAGGGGAGGGGCTCTGATAGTTGGGCTGGGGGCTTGTCTGCAAGGGGCTGGGAAGATGTCCTGGGAGGGGTGGGGGGCTAGATTGGGGTTGGAGGCCCCTTAGGGGGTGATTCATGCTAGGGGGTGTGGGGAGCAGGGGCGAGCTTCAGAGAGGACTTGGCTCTGGGCAGCCCCAGTCAGACACCTGGTCAGGAGCCTATGGGCCCTGGTCCAGCTCCCTTGGTGTGTTGAGGGCGGGCATGTGCTTGCTGCCTGGGCACTGGCCCAGGAGGACCCAGGCTTTGGGAGCAGGCAGGACAGAGCACAGCCTGCCTGGGAGGGGGCTGGGAATGAAGCCGCAGAAGGAACTCAGATTCAGGAGTTAGGCTAGCTTCAACTCAGATCCCAGTCTGCATCACACTTATAGAAGGACTGTGGGCAAGTCATGCAGCTACCCTGAGCCTCAGTTTTCCCTTCTGTTAAATAGGGACAGTAAAATACCTAGTGTTCATACAGTGCTCACCACTGAATGGAAATCACCATTATTGCCTCCCTTAATTGTATTAAGACAGTTCTGGGTACATGGGAAGCCCTACAACAAGGCTCTCAGTACCTCTTCTGTGAGCCTGACATCAACATGGTCATCCTTGGGCAGGCAGTCCAGCTGGCTAGCGGTATTTCAAAGGCTGTGCCAGAAGCCCCAGGGCCTGGCCCCCTGTACTTTGGGGCATGGTTGGTTTCATTTACACCCCTGCTTAAAGTCCATGCCCTCTCCGCACCACACAGATGGAGCCAGAACCAGCAGAGCCCCCCTCTGCAGCAGTGGAGGTGGCCAATGGCGCCGAGCAGACCCGCGTGGACAAAGCACCAGAGAGGCGGAGCCCTCTGAGCACCGAGGAGCTGATGACCATTGAGGATGAGAGTGTCCTGGACAAGATGGTATGGCCAGATCTGGTGGACTGGGGGTTGGCAGGGGCCAGGGCCAGCAGGCACAAGATAGGCAATGACAGGGACTCTGTCTGCAGCTGGATCAAACTACGGACTTTGAGGAGCGGAAGCTCATCCGGGCTGCGCTACGTGAGCTCCGACAAAGGAAGAGAGGTAGAGAGCCCCATGCCTCCCCCTAGATCCAGCTGCTTCCCTCATTGGGGTACATTTGTGGACACTCCAGCTCAGTAACGCCCTCCCCACCTTCTTCTCTAGACTCAGCTTCTCCTTTTCTAGACCCAGCTCTTCCCTTGCCTCCTTTCCCCAGATCCAGCTGCTCCGTTCCCTAGCTGCTTCTCTCCCGCTTCCTAGACCGAGAACCAGCTTCTCTTCTCCTTCCTAGGCCCAGTTACTCTCTCCCCCAGCTACTCCTCCTTGCTTCTCCAAGTTCTGTCAAGTACTCCTTCCCTGAATCCAGATACTCCTTCTCCCAGCTGCTTCTCTCTCCTCAAGGTCCACCGATGACCACCTTAGCCTCTGCTTCCTCCCTGCTTCCCCTTCCCTGAACACAGCTACTTCCTCCCCAGACCCAGCTATTCCTTCTTCCAGATTCTAGATTCATTTGCTTCTCCAGATACTCTCAATTACTCCTTCTCTGGATCTAGCTGCTTCCTGCAGGGCCCACGGATGGCCACCCAGCCTCTATGCCCACCCACCTGCTTCTTCTTTAGGCCCAGTTACCCGCTTTGTCAGCTTCTCTCCCAACTACCCTTTCCCTGGATCGAATTGCTTCTCAGATACCTACAATCACTCCATCCGTGGATTTAGATATTTCTTCCTCTAGCTGCTCTTCTCCCTGCTAAGACCTATTTGAAGGCCTGCTCAGCTACTGCCCTCACTCAGCTTCTCCTTCCCTGGCCTCTGCTGCTTCCTCCCTAGATGGAGATACTCCCTCCGGACTCAGCTTCTCATTCCCACAGAAACTCCCTTCTTGGACCCAAATACTTTCCCTTTGAGTTCAACTATTCCATGTCCCCTTGTTTCTGAGTGCACCACACCCCGCCATTCCCTCCCAAGTTATAGCTACCCCCTCACCCCCAGCTACTCCTAGAGAGGACCGTTGTCCCCTGTGTCTTCAGTATTGCTAACAAGTTGCCCTCCACCCCATCTGTGTGCCCCGTGTGCCCGTGCATATGTGCTTTGTGGGCGATGGCGGCCTTCTGGGCATGCGTGGGGCATTCCCCGCCCAGACCAGCGGGACAAGGAACGGGAACGGCGGCTGCAAGAGACACGGGCCCGCCCAGGGGAGGGCCGTGGCAACACGGCCACCAAGACCACCACGCGACACAGCCAACAGACAGCCGATGGCTCAGCTGTCAGCACTGTCACCAAGACCGAGCGGCTCGTCCACTCCAGTAAGGGGCTGAGCAGAGATCAGGGCTCAGGGTGGGAACATGTCTACCTTGCTGGACCCTGTGCCCCTCACACCCTTCCTCTCATCCCTGCCCCCGCAGATGATGGCAGACGGACGGCCCGCACCACCACGGTGGAGTCGAGTTTTGTGAGGCGCTCAGAGAGTAAGGCCGCCTGGCGTCTTCTCATGCCTGCCTGCCAGCCCACCTTCCTCAAACTCTCTCCGAACTTCCATCTGTGTGTCTCTCTGTCCAGCCGTCACTTTCTCTTCTCTGCCTGTGGCTACCTCCATCCCTCTACCAACCTCCCGCCCCATCTCCCACATCCAGCCCAGGACCTCACCCTGCTCCCCTTCCCCTTTCTTGCAGATGGTGGTGGCAGCACCATGATGCAAACTAAGACCTTTTCCTCTTCATCATCCAAGAAGATGGGCAGGTGAGCACAGGTACCCACTCCCAGACCATGGAGGAGTCAGTGTCTCAGGGGACCTCACTGCACACCCATTCTACAAGAGGGGACACAGCCGGGGGGGGCAGAGTGGGAGTCAAACCACTCCTGCTTGCCTTGCCATCTCACCTAATTCTCAACCGCACCATGGGGGAGGCCAGAGATTTGCTCGGGGTCTTAGAGAAGCCTCCCCACCACACTGAGCTGCTGGTGGCACTGCCACTTCCCAGTGTCTACAGACCATGTCCCATGTCACAGAGCATCTTTACATATTAGCCCCATGAAGGTGGGATACACCCGATGTTACAGAGCATTTTGGGGCAGGTAGGATCAGAATTCAGGCTGGGAACCACAGGGGTCCAGGAACTCTGAGTCAGAGACTTATATTCAAGTCCTTGCGCTGCCCCCCATGCTCTCTGAAATCTAAGGCCAAAGGCCTCTGTTTCCTCATCTTCAGTGGAAGTGGTAAGAGCCCCTCCATACTCTTGTGAAGTTTAAAATGACACATAGAAAAGGCTCAATAGACACTAGCTATTATTATTATTACCATTACTGTTATCACATTGGTTGTCATTATTAGTTGATAGGGCCCAGAATCTAAGCTCACCTGTAACCTGAGGATACAATGAGCCTTCGCAGAAAACTCCCCAGGGTCCAAGTCTGTTGAAAAGAGCTTGGCTCCCATTTTCTTGTCGTTTGAGCCTCAGTCTACTCTTCTGTAAAATGGATGTGATGAGAGCACCTCCCTTGCTGGCCGGCGTTGCCGGTGGTGAAGATACCGCAAGAGAGTAGGATCTGGAGTGTGACAAGGCCCCTCCCTTGACTCGTGGGGATCGAGACTCAGGAGCGGCCCTCCCCGGCCCTAACAGTGGCATACCCACCCCTCAGTATCTTCGACCGAGAGGATGAAGCCAGCCCGCGGCCCGGCAGCCTAGCGGCGCTGGAGAAACTCCAGGCAGAGAAGAAGAAAGAGCTGATGAAGGCGCAGAGCCTGCCCAAGACCTCGGCCTCCCAGGCGCGTAAGGCCATGATTGAGAAGCTGGAGAAGGAAGGCACCGCTTGGTGAGCAGCAGTTGGCGGGGCGGGGCCGCACGGGGCGGGGTCTGGGCTGTGGTGGGCGGGGCCAGAGACGAGAAGGGAGCGGCTGGAGCTGTGGGGGGCGGGGCCTGAAGGTAAAGAAGGCGGGGCTGGGGCCTACTCGGTGGGCCGACGGAAGAGGCGCCCCTTGTAACCCCGCTCCCGACACCACCCCCACAGCAGCTCTGGCGGACCCCGCGCAGCTGTGCAGCGCTCCACCAGCTTCGGTGTCCCCAATGCCAACAGCATCAAGCAGATGTTGCTGGACTGGTGCCGAGCCAAGACACGTGGCTACGAGGTGAGCTCTGTGAGACCAGGTGGCCAGGCAAGGGCCTCCTCACCCTCACAAGGCCCCAACTGCAGCTGTACCCTTCACAGCCACCATGTCTGGCAGAGAAGATGGGAATTCCTCTTCTGGGATGAAACAGGCTCAAAGGACACATAACATGCCCTACATTCCAGGATAAGTGATTAAGGGGCAGGGCCTAATGAGGGCCCTTGGATGGTGGGCACAGTTCAGGGCCAGACCCCACCCTTAGAGTCCCCTCCTCATTGTTCTGTCAGAGGCACTGGGTAAATTTCTGTACATAAGGGAAGGAGTGATGAGGGCATGACCATGGCCTTAGCTGGGTGGTGCTGCGCCTCTTGGTCACTCTGTCCCCCTAAGCAACAGACACGGGAGTTAACAAACTGAGTTGGAGGAGGCTACCTACTGTGCAACCTTGAGCAAGCTACAGGGCCTCTCTGAGCTCAGTTTCCCTAGATCTGGATTACCAAAACACTGGAGGGTGAGGACTTCCCCAGTGGTCCAGTGGTTAAGACTCTGGTTAAGACTTCCACTGCAGGGGGCATGGGTTTGATCCCTGATTGGGGAAGTTCTGCATGCATGCCTCGTGGTGTGGTTAAAAAACAAAACAAACAAAATACTGGAAGGTGGAGGACATAGAGAGCTGACCAGTCTTCCCACTACCCATAGCATGTGGACATCCAGAACTTCTCCTCGAGTTGGAGTGACGGGATGGCCTTCTGTGCCCTGGTGCACAACTTCTTCCCTGAAGCCTTCGATTATGGGCAGCTCAGCCCACAGAACCGGCGGCAGAACTTCGAGGTGGCCTTCTCATCCGCTGAGTAAGTGTGGGTCCCAGCCCTGCTGGTGTCAGCTGGGCGTCTGGGGCTGGGCATCTGGGCCGGGCCCAGCTGCCCTGAGGCCCCCTGGAGCTGGTCAGCTGCACTGTCATTCAGCGGCTGAGACCCCCTTCCCCAGAAAGCCCCCATCCTCTTCCACCCCACCCACCTGTTGCTGAATGTGCCAGGTGCCCACCGGAACGAAGGAGCCAGAGGCCCGCCTACCAGCCCAGGCCAAGGCCCATCAGGTGGCCCTGTCCATATCCCCTCCATTCTCCCTCTGCCCCCTTCTCCCTCTATCTCTCCCTTTCTCTCTGTCTTGCTCTCCTCCCACTATCACCAGAGCTTCCTGCTCCCACGGGATCCCGGCTGGAGATTCCAAAAGGAGGATCCTGGCCCGGGCACCGTGCCCGCCCAGCCTATATAGGTGTTGCCAGAGGCTTATATAGGACATCAGCAAGCCCTCCACTTTGGAATCGTTGCCCCATCTGCTCACCTCACCCTCATCACCCTCCTCCATCTGTCTTTCTCTATCTTTCTCTTTCTGATTTCCCCCCGGATTTCTTCCTCTTTCTCCTCCCTCCACCTCCTCTCACGCCTCCCTCACCCCCCCTCCCTGGGGCACGGCCCTCCTCTCCAACCTCAGCGCCAACGCCATCGCCCCCACCCCTTGTTCCCTCCCGCTTGCCCCGAGAGTTCTCTGCACCTGTGACTGATCTGGCCCCCCACCCCTGTCTGCATTGCACACCATTAGTGATGGGTAGTGAGCGGCACGTCCACAAAGGGGAGGGGGCATGCGGGGGGCTGGCAGACTGCAGCACTGAGAACGTAACTGAACTCATGTCTCTGTGTGTGTATGTGTGTGTCTCTCTGTTCTCCTCCCCTCTCTCTTTTCTGCCTCTTCCCCTGCTGCCCCGCTCGGGCCCCGCCCCCCTGCCCCTTCCCGGCCCCCTACCCTCCCCAGGACCCATGCGGACTGCCCGCAGCTCCTGGACACAGAGGACATGGTGCGGCTTCGAGAGCCTGACTGGAAGTGCGTGTACACGTACATCCAGGAGTTCTACCGCTGTCTGGTCCAGAAGGGGCTGGTAAAAACCAAAAAGTCCTAACCCCTGCTGGGGTCCCACGGTGAGGAATGCCGCCTTGCTCCCCTGTCCCATTACGCTGCCCCGCTGGAATCTGCTCAGTGGGGCACAAAGAAAAGCCAGGGAAATGGCAGGAGTGGGGGTGGGGAAGCAGGGGGACCCTGAGAAGAGCCAGAAGGAGCCAGGCACGGCCTTATCTTCTGTTCAGGACCTCACAGGCAAGGCTATTCTCCTCAATGGGCAGTGATGAGCCAGGTGGGCAGGACTGAGATGGAGGAAGCCCAGGAGGCCATGGGATCCCCGGGGAGACACCCGACCCAGCTGGCAGGTCCAAGACAGCTCTCAAAAAAGTGCAAACTAAGCTGGCATCTGAATGACAAGTTCAGAATTAAGGAGAGGGAGTCCCAGGCAGAGGGATCAGCCAGTGCACAGGGGTGGGGTCGAGGGAGGTGGAGGGCATGGCACACCCAGGAAGGGAAGGAAGTTTATTTAGTCTGGATGTGAGGGGGAGGAAGGGGTCACAGTCAGGAGTCTGAACTTCCTTCTGAGGACAACAAGAGTTATAAAAGGTTTTCAAACAGAGAAGGGATATATGTGGTCTGGTAGCATTGAAGAACAATCCTTGAGTGAGGCCTGGATGAGGGATGGGGAGGGAGGGGATGGACTAGACAGTTAGAGAAGCTTAAGCGGAGGGGTGGGGTTTTTGATGGACCCACTGGGGAGGGAGAATGAGGGTCAGGGAAGCCTCCCAGGCCTCCAGTTTGTGCACCGGGAAGTTGGGGGTGCCATGCTCCAAGTTGAGGAGCTCAGGCGTGAGGCCAGTTTAACAGGAAGTTATTTCTGGTGGGAGTCCTGGATCGCCAAGCCAGCTGTGGCATTTCCTGTCTGGTCATCTCACCTCAGGGCCACAGTAGAGAATTAAGATCCTGCGCTAACTGCCCATTACAGACCAGGAGCTCAGAGGAGAGAGGTGGGCTCAGAGCATGCCAGGGGTTGTTAGGTCAGAGCTAGGGCCAAAAACTGGAACTCCAGACTCCCCACCTTGTGGCTGTTTTCCTTGCCCCATCACTTTTCCCACCCATTTTGTAGGGAGAAGAAAAGACGAAGGCCCAGAGGGAGAAAGGGGATTGCCTAAAGTAATGTGAATCAGGGACAGAGCTAGCAGTGCACTCAGATGCCCCTTGGGGCCTGGAGCCATTGTGGGGGGCAGCCCACACGTGCACACATATACTCAGAGAAGCTGTGCAGGTGAGGGAAAGATGGGCTTGGTGCTGTCTCCAGGTCATATATGGACTTAGGAGCTGCTGCCCAGCAGGCCAGCCTGGAGGGAATGGGGCCCAGTCCGGCCCTGTTCCAGTTGGAAAGTGTGACTCAGCCGTGCTATTGCTCGAATTGCCTGGTGTTTGGCCTGTCACTGGGGCAGCAGGAGCCCTGAGCCGTGAGCCCCGGTGTAAACAATGGCTTTATAAGGTCTCCAGGGAAGACACCAGAGATGGGAGGGAGCTCCACTTTGGGAGAGGCCAGGATCCCTGGGGAGATAGCCACAGCTGGAAGAAGCTGCAAAGAGAGGCCGCCTCTTCACCATAGTACAACTGAAACAAGCTGGGGCAGAGACAACCTCAAGGGCACATAGCACCTCAACAAGAGAGTCAGAAACCTCTCACTCATCCTAGGTGCTTCCAAGGACTCAAATGAAGCAAAGAATGACTATACTATTGCAGAAAAATGGGGAAACTGAGTCACGGGGCAGGGTTTTCTCTAGCTTCCACAGCTGGCCAGGAGTAGAGCCTTGACAGAAACAGGTCTCCTGCTTCCCAGGCTTCTTCCCCAAAGGAGTCCTGGTGAGCTGAGAGTAGGCCCCAGCCCTTACACTGTTTGACATTGAAGGTCTGACCTTGAAGGCACAAGATGGAAGGTAGTCCTGGGCCCTTGGGTGTCTTGGGAACAGGAGCAGTTCCTGCCCTCATGCCTTCCTTGCCAAAGGAAACTCACTTAACAACATTGACAGTGCTAACTGTCATATATATGCCAGGCATGGCACATGGGAGGGAGCAAGTCCTGCCCCTGAATGTGATGTAGTTGGTCCAGTTCGTATTGATTGGGACACTCATCTGCTTCCCCTGCTCTACCCAAGTGGGTAATAAGAGTTAAAGAACTGTCTCTCAGACATACACACACACCTCCCTGGCCACCATCTCACACAGCAGGGATGTCCCTTGAGGCAGATGGGGGTTCTCAGGCTGCTCTGCAGGAGGTACCAAGCCAGGGAGCTGGCAGATAATCCTGGGCCCAGAGGGTCACTGGAGTGGGTCCTGGGTGCAGGGAAAGATTTGAGGCCCCTTGGGTACAACGGCCCAACTGAGAGGCTTGTGCCAGCTGGAGTGTGCCATTGAGGGTGAGAAGGAGGCGGCCCTCCAGAGAGAAGTGGGTGGGGTCTGGAGTGAGGACCTCCCCCGGGCTAGGGGTTGAGACCCCAACCCTGCGCTGGGTCTGCTGCGCCTGGGCGCAGGGATGGGGCAAGGATCTCCTCCTTAATCTCCACATGCCTTGGCCTTGCTCCCCACAGAGGTGCCTCCAGGCTTGGGTGGCTGGGGCCTGGGGCTTCTGCCTTCCTAGAAGGCTTTTCCCCCATTCAGTCGATCAGGAGTCGAGTTTATGGAAGACCAGCGGGCTGCGGCGTTGTAAAGACCTCTGGGTAGAGGGTCGCCGCAAGAGTCGGGGCCGGCACTGACAACCACCCCCGTGCCCCCCTCCCCGCAGGATGCTGGTGGACTGCGTACCCCTCGTGGAGGTGGAGGACATGATGATCATGGGCAAGAAGCCCGACCCCAAGTGCGTTTTCACCTACGTGCAGTCGCTCTACAACCACCTGCGGCGCCACGAGCTGCGCCTGCGCGGCAAGAATGTCTAGCTTCCCCACCGCCCGCAAGGCCGCAGCGGCAAGCTGCCCCCACCATCCAGGCACCGTCCCCTCCCTGTGCGCCTGCCCACCGCTGCCCTGTCTGTCGCGACACCTTTCCACGCATACACACACAGCGTTTTGATAAATTATTGGTTTTCAACGACCCTGATTCCTCTCTGCCTCCCTTGGGGGGCTGAATGGAGGGCAGCTGGGTAAGGTGTGCCCACGTCCCCACTCTGGCAGCCAGGCAGCTGGGGATGCGCGGTCTCCTATGGGTATTCGGGGAGCTCTTATTCCTCACCCGCCCGCATCAAAGAAGGAGTCGAGTCTCGCTGAAGGCGGAAGGGGATTTAGTGGAGCTGGGAAGGGAAGAAAGAGGGTTAGGAGGGACCCCCGCAACTCCATCCCTGCTGGCTCGGGGACTGGGCGTCGGCCCTCAGCGAGGGTGGTGCTCCCGGGCCGCTGAGCGCTTCATTCTGTCCCCAGGGCTCAGGCAGGGTGGTGCCGCGTCCCCAGACCTACAGGTCAGCGCGGTCAGGAGCGCCTTCGGCGGGCCTAGCGGGCGCCCGCAGGTACTCTGGGGGCACAGCCTCGTCGGGCGACGCCTTGCGGTAGAAGCCGAGCTCCTGCACCAGCGCGTTGATCTCCTCGCGAGTCATGTCGCTGAGTGGGATTCGCTGAAGAAGAAGAGGGGCGGAGTCAGCGCGCCGGGCCCCGCCTCTCGCCCCTCCTCCCCACTGTCCACCTCCCCAGGCCTCACCTCCAGTTCCTCAAAGCGTTGGCCCAGCAGCACGAGCTCCGGGTCGGCCCCCGGGAGGTGTTTCATTACCAGGTTGTGGCTGGAGATGGTGTTAAGGTGGGTAGTGGTGGGCGGAGGCAGGTGGGGTCTCCTGGGGACTTGACGATGTGAACACTACCTCGTCTGCCCAAGCAGGGCAGGGATACCCATTTACACGTGAGGAAATTAGGGTTCGAAGAAGTAAGGGGGTCTCCTCTCTGTGCCGGTGTCTGTGGCAGTCATCACTAGTCAATTTCTCTTGCCAATCCAAGACCACCTCAGAATTCGCTGGGCAGCCACTATCAATCAATCCCACTTGTTAGTTGAAGACCATTTGTCATCCCTATCTGTGAAGTTAAGTGGAAGGAGATTCTTGCAGATACCCTCCCCTTTCTCCCTCCCCAAGAACAGAAGGAGGATACTAGAGTGGGATGTCCTGGGTGACGAAGGCCTTCACCTGGGGAGGAACCAGAACATCAGACCCCAACCATCGCCAGGTACCAACAGGAAACTGAAGCCCAGTGAGGTCACACAGCAAGCAAGGTGTAGGCTCCTGACTCCCAGCCCAGGGAACCTTCCCCACCCGGTCATTGGGACCATGTTGCCCACCCCCAAAGAGGCTCAGGGGGGACAGAACTGGGGATCCCTTCCTTCAAACTCACCTCCTTCAGGCGATTAAGCTGTCATCCCCCACATGTCTGGAGGGGAACAAAATGGCATAGGTCAGGAGTAACACATCTACCCTCACCCTCATTCCCCAGCTGGGCATTGGATTGAGCTGTGAATTACTCCCTGGAACAGCAGTTCCTAAGATGTGGAAGTGGAGGCCCCTTGTGGGTAGAAGGAGGAACTCTGTACAGATGGGAAAGCCGAGGCCCACCCACACCAGAGGAAAAGAGGAGCAAGACCAGAAACCCAAAGGAAACTTACCAGCCTTGGGGCTCTTGCCTGCACAACTTACTGACTCTTGACCCATGCCCAATGCCCAAGAGAAATGATCACCCTACCCCCTCAGGCCATAGAGACCTGGACCTGGTCTTTGGCCCCTAGAACCTCAGGGTGGAGGCAGACCAGAAGGAAACAGCTCAGAACTTCCCTGAGAGGCCCTATTAGTGACACCTACCATCTGGTTCCTACCTCATCCGGTGCAGAGCTGGCTCTCCCTGCCACCTGCAGCCTAGCCCTACAGACCATCTGGTTGCTTCCCCAACAAAGGAGACTGGGAGGGCCCCTCCCTGTACTCCCTGAAGGGGAGTCCAGACCCCAGAATTACCATTCTAGTCCTCCCTCCTCCCCGCCCTCGCCACCCCCCTAGCTTTTTTCAGGCAGAAAACCAAGGCCCAGAGAGGGTCTGTGATGATCCAAGTTACACAGGGACTTTGGTGGGACATTTCATGGCAGGGGAGGGTGGGGGGATTGCTGAGGAGTAAGAGTGGTAAGGCAGTTCCCAGCCAGGTGGCAGGGAGGCTCGCAGAAAGTCTCCTGTCTCCCAGGCAAAGGGAGTGAGACCAACCGGAACTGGGGTGGGGAGGAATTCCAGGAAAAAGAGAAGTGATGGGGGGATGGGAGGTTGGACTCCAGAGGACAGATTTGGGAAAGTCATAGGCCGGAAGAAGTTAGGGGACAGGGCCAATGTGTCTGGGGCCCAATGTCTGGCCGGATGGGGAACTGGGGAGGGTTTCAGATTTCCAGGCCTCAAGATCGGTGGTCTCGGGCTTCCACGGTGGGTGCTGGGGCGTTCTGGGGCTGGGGAGTGGGAGGGACAGTCCTGGTGCCGAGGGGGACATGGGAGTCGGGAGGGTCCTGGGTCAGAACGGGCGGTGATTCCAAAGCCAAGGGGCCACGGGGTTAGGGGTCGGTGGTGCCTAGCCTGGGGGCCGCCGCACTCACCTCTACCCGGCCTCGGGCCAGGCCGTGTAGACGGTTCCAGTCGGGCCGGAAGGCGGTGGTGGCGGCCGCGACTGCCGCGAGGAGCAGCAGCAGAGGCGGCGAAAGCAGCGGGAGGCGCATTGAAACCCGGCCGAAGATGATCCGCAAGCTAGAGGTGAACCGTCCGGCCACTGCGCCACGTCTGGGCCCGCGAGCTGGCCAGGTCCCTGCTTGAGGTCCCACCCCGCTAGGGACCACGCCCCCAGCTCTCGGTCTCCGCCCAGGGCCTGCGTGGGGACCGCCCGCGCTCTCCCGGCGGGGTTTGGGCTCCTCTCTGGCCCTCAGCCCTTTACTTTCCCAGCCCCGAGAGTGTCCACCCTCCCTCTGCTGACAGAGAGCATGGACGCTCCGACAGGATGCGGCCAGGCAGTGCCCCCTCATGCCGGCAGGGGGCGCGGGCGGGATGCGGACGGACACGCGAGTTTCTGGGTCAGACACCCGATTTGAAGATGGGGAAACTGAGGCCTGGGGAATCCTTTTTTGTGTTTTTTATTTCTCTGGATGAAATTCCGATCTGGATTTCAATTTCCTGAGCACACGTGTGGCGATGGGAATATTACGTCAGTGCTGGGAGGATAAAAGGGTTAATACACATTAGAAAGCTCTTTAGAACAGTACCTGGCACAGTACCTCAGAATGGCCCCATGAACTCCGTTTTACAAGTTAGGTAACAGACTCAGAAAGGTAAAACAATTAAGTTGTGGATCTGGGATTTGAACCTAAAACATGCCTGTGTTCATCTCACCAAGACAAAGATAACTAGATCAGCATGCTACTTCCTCTCTTCAAGCCTAAGGCAGACACAGCACATTGATCACAATGCTCTTTCCCACCGAATCTAGCCTGGGACTCAGAATCCTCCTTAACATCAAACCAAGGCTGCATTATGACCAGTTTTGCCTTCCTGGGCCCCTTCCTTTATTAAAAAACATATATTAAAAATTGGATTTTACAACTGCTTTGATTTAATAAAATGAATGTAATCCAGGCTGGATTCATGATTACTTATTCATTTTTTTCTTCCGATTTTAAAGGAAGTTAAAATTAAAATATTTTTATGGACCCCTAAAAGTATGATGGGCCCTAGACACTGAGCCTAATGGAAAAGTCAGTTCTGCCCTTTGTTCATACCCTGCTACCTCCCATTCACTGACTTGATTGTGAAGATATAATAATAATAGACTTAGGGCTGTTATTTAATATCCATTCTCTATAAATGCATGAGGACACAGTAAATATAATTGGTTCTATCCAGATTATTGAAATGACAGGCTATGTCTAACACTCTATTTACTGCAGTGGAAGTGGGAATTCATCCAAGCTTTCTGAAAGGCAATTTGACACAGTAAATCAAAACCCTAAAAATATTTCTTCTACCCAGTATTCCACTTCTCAGAATTTGACCCAAAGTAATCTTCAGAGAGGGAATCAATTGTTAGGTCAAGATGTTTATCAAGACACTGTTTATCATGGTGAAAAACTGGAGAGAAGACAGAAGCATGTCACAGCAGGGGATGAGTTAAATAAATGGTGATACCTCCTTAGGGTAGAGAACCAAGCAATTGTTTAAAATGATGCAGCATACTGTTGAATGACATGGAGAATGTTCATAGTTATGGTATTAAATTTTTTAAAAAAGCTATGAAACAGTAATATCAGCTGGGAGTTGCGATGCTCTGGGCTGCAAGTCAGAGAAACCTCAAGTTTAACTGGCTTAAACAATGAAAGGAATCTGTTAGCTCAAATAACAAAATAGTCCAGGCAGGGAGGGCTTCAGGTGAGGTTTGATCTGGTTGGTAAAGTCACCAAGACCTGATCTCTTTCCATTCTGCTTCTATAACATCAGCTTATCATTAGCCCAATTACCTTCATGGTGTCAAGATGGCTGCCGGTAGTAACCAGTACCACCACAGACTTCTTCATTCATATCTAACCAAGGGGAAATCTTTTTTTTTTTTTTTTTTTGGTAAACTTCTCAGGAGAGAAAACAAGCTTTCTTTCCCAAAACCCCCAGCAAAAGTCTCCTTATATCTCACTAGGTCCATCCATGATCTAATCAAGTGTCTGGGGAAATGCAAATGCTCCCTGGCTTAACCAGTTGGGACCCATTCCTGAAGATTGTCAAGGATATGAGCTGCAATGGATGTATGGCGGCAACAGAGTAGCCAATGGATTTTATAAAATATGTATATATAAATACATACGCCTTCACCAAAAACCATAATCTAAAGGAAACAACCCAAGAAGTCAAAATGGTCATCTCTTGGTAGATGAAATTATAGGTGAATTTTTTTTCTCCTTTACAATATTTTTCTGTGTTTTCTATAATAAACATGTGTTACCTAAACACAAACAGTAATATTTGTTAACAAAAAGAATGGGTCATATGCCATGGGTTCCCTCTACCCCACCCCACACCCCAGCAAGGGCCTCAGATTGGCTGAATCCAGAGGCCCCGTGGAGCCCATGGCTTTTCTGCTGACAGAGCCAAACCTCAGCACCCCATGGGCCCACACTGTTCACTGGACAGGTGCCACCAAACCACCCTCATTGCATTAACCTGGACTCTGTGTCCTGGAGGGGCCATAGCCTGGGCTGCTGAGTGTCGACTAGCCAGCTAGTGGAACTGATGGTAGTGACTGGCCACAACAGTACCAGGAACATTCTGGCATCAGCAGTCATGGGAGGCCCAGGATCTCCCAGAACAGATCTCTGCTCATAATCCATGCCTTTATGGGGCAGTTTGTAATCTAGGCCAGCAGCCCTGCTCAGGTGGGGCTGGGTTTGGGGTTTAGTCTGTGATAAAACCAGGCTCAGACAAGGTCAGGGTCAGTCCTTAGCCTATGCCCAGGTTCAGAACTGAGTCTGGGGCTGGAGTCAGGGCTCAGTCAGCGACTGGGATTTGGTCTCCGTCTGTGACTATGTTCAGGGCTCAGCCTTTGACCAGATTCAGTGCACAGTCTGAGGTCAGGGACTAGTATGTGACCAGAGTTGTGTGACCCAGGGTCAGAGCTCAGTTTGAGACCAGCGTTCAGTCAATGATTAGATTCAGGGCTTAGTCTGTGACCAAGATCAGGGCTCAGTCTGCCACCAGGTTCAGTTAATGACCAGACTTGGATCTCAGTCTAGACCTGGGCTTGGGGCTCAGTCTAAAATCAAGGGTTAGTCCAAACCAGGGTTAAAGTTCAGTCTGTGACTGTGGCTCAGTCTTAAGCTAGGATCAGCGCTCGATCTGGGTCCAGAATTGAGGTCTCCAGTTGGAATCAGGCTAGGTCAGGCTTGGATCAGGCTCAGTACTTGACCAGAACCAAGGCTCAATCTAGAGCTGGGGTAGAGGCTCAGTCTTAGTGTGGGATCGGGGCTCAGTTAACACCAAGATTAAGGCTCAAGCTGGATCTGGACTCAGGGCTAGGGTTTAGTCTGGCTCTGTGCTCTGTTCTGAGCTCCAATATAGAAGTTTCTGGAGACCTGGGCATCAAGGGCAGGTCAGCATGCAAGAAAGGAGAGCCCCCAGGCAAGCTTCTGTCCCTGCAGTAAACCTCTCTTTGCCTGCTGAAGCCAGTTGTCCTAGAGCCTTCTAACCTACATGGCTCTGCTGCCCGAGATCCCCTCAAACCAGAATAAAAATAGCCATTCACTTCAGAGCAGCTGACAGCGGGTGCCAGCCTGCCTGGGAGGAGGGGAAGCTGAGGAGAGGAAGGAAGGATGTTTGAGCTCAGGCCCCAGCTGTGTGACCTTGGGAAAGTCACTCCTCCTCCTTGAACCCATTCCTGAGGAGCAGAATGGGAGGTGAGGATGACACCTGCCCCAGAGGTGAGAACGAGGGGAGAGTGATATAACATGTGGCAGTTGGTACCAATAAGGAACTCTGGAGTGAAGCCTTGGGAGGAAAAATGCTCCTCCAGGTCCTGTATACTTTCTCCTCCAGGAAGCCCTCCTTGATGCTTACCTCTTCCACCTTCCCACACTACCCTGTAGCACCCTCTATGTCTCAAAACATTTCTCAACTAGTGGCCACAGTGTGACCTCCCTCACAGGTGACCAGCGAGCAAAACGAAGAGGATAGACCCTTCTGTACCATTACCATCCTCAGGTGCCCCTGGGAGGTGGATCGAGGAAGAGGAAGAGGAAAGAGGAAGAAGCACGTCTCTCTCTCCCTTCCCTACTTCTGGGGGATTTACTCTGAGCCAAAGGGCCATGAGGGCACGTGTCCAGAGTTTGCATCCTTTCACAGCCGGAACCTTTCATACTCCATACCTTTGCACCTGCTGCTCCCTCTGCTTCCCGGGGTGTTTCTTCTCTTTTCAGTTTGGCAATACAGATTCTCCTTCAAAGAATAGGTTCAACAGGAACCTCTGTGGGGGAGAATTATCCACCATCTCCCTGGGAACCCCATGCTCTGTCCCCTGCTGGCTGTGTAATCCCTAGGCCTCAGTTTCTTCCTCTGTCAAATGGGGATCTTATTACCAACATCACAGGGTTACTGTGGAGAGTAACTGAGATAATCCATCAACCACCTCCTTTCCTATCCCTGACCCGAACAGCCTGGAGGGTAGCACTAAGATTTCTAGGGTGGGGCAGGAAAAGATGTACTCTCTGCCTCAGTACACCACCCCCTACCCCCAGGAGCGAGGGAAGGGAGGGAGCCAGGAGGTGTCTCCGGAGACAGCCACCTCCAGGGGGGTGGTTCTCCCTGGCAGCTGCCCCCAGCCTGCCACCCTGAGCCCCAGAGCCTGTTATCAACCTCCTTAGTCATCACACCAGGAGCTCAAATATAGCTCTTACCCTGTTCTCTTCTCAGCCAAGGTCCGCCCCCTGCCCCCTTCCCCTAGCAAGGCCATGTCTGGGTCTCAGAGCCCCTTTTCCTTCCCCCCGACCCAGGAATGCAACTATGCTGGGCCTCAGTTTCAGCATCCTCCAAATGGGCAGGTTGGAATAGATGATGATGATGGGGATGATGATGATGATGATGATGATTGTGGTGGTGGTGGTGGTGGTGATGGTGGTAACTCCAGGGAAGCTGCCCTTACTGAGAGCTTGCTTGTGCCAGGCTCTGTGCTAAACTCTTCAGATGTATTATCTTGTTGAATTCTTACTGCAATCTTGGAGGTATCTACTGTTTTTATCTGCCTTACACAGACCAGGAATCTGAGTGACTCTCCAAGTAAATCAGTGGCAGAGACAGAAACAAAGTCCCCTGAAGGATCTGAGCTCAGGGAGGGGACATGGTGGAGATCCTGGCTGCCCCACTGGGGCAGAGGAGCCCTTTGAATACTTATTTGTATGACATTTGCCTGGTTTCTCAAGGACATTGATGCCCCTGTCTCAGCCCGGATGGTTGAGCCCTAGGACTGGTTCCAGGGACCTGGATCTGTCTCCCATCACTTCCAGGATTGCAACAGAAGCCAAGTACTCTTGGGGGCCTCAGTTTTCCCATCTGTAAAATAGGAGTCAGAGGGCTAGGCAGGGTAAGTTCAAAATTTCCTCCCACATCTGGTGGCCTGAGCACCACCACCCTGTTCACGCTCACTTCCTCCCTCACCACCACCCGCATCTTCACCTCCAACTCCACCACCACCTCTTCTTCCGTTAACATAACACCCCCACCACCTCGTCTGCCCCCATCCCTCCTCCACTGTTACTATAACCCCCATCTCTTCATTCTAGCACCTCCACCATCACCAACCTTTGTTATCATCTCTACTATTGCCATCACCATTACCTCCACTACCTCTTCTATCACATCCGTCCCACCACTATCACCTCCACTTTGCCAGCACTGTCACCTCACCACCACCACCAGCACTGTCAGTCCTCACTTCCATTATCATAATTACATACATTATCATCTCCACCCCTTCGATCACCAGTGTCGTTACCTCCCCCATCACCAACGTCATCACTTCCACCATTACCACATTTCTACCCCAGGACCCTAATATGGCCTGGGTCTCTGCCCCTGCAAATTCCAGCCTCATAGAGGTGCTAGCCCAGAAACACAGACTAGACTCAGAGACTAGCAGAGGTGGGAAGCCCATCCAGGAGAGGGAATGAGGTATCTGTCCACGTGACTTTCATGCAGGTGACCACACCGGTCCATGAGGATACAGAGGTGACTGTTGATCAGCAGGGAGCTCTGGGCACAAAACTCTGATCATTTTCTGCCTAAACTGAGTGAGATCATTCCTCTGTAAGCAATCAAGCAGCTCTGGAGGAATCGTTTCAGGGACTGATTAGCAGATAAGAGTGAGAGTGGGGAAGAGGCAGAAGCAGAGCCCACAGCTATCTCCGGCCGTATCTGAACCTGTCACTCATTCACTCTTCTCACTGATTGATTGATTCATTCAACAAACACTTCCCTAGGTCTGTTGGAGACCAGGCCCTATGCTGGGTCCTGGCCAAAGAAGTTCCCAGACCTGTTTTTGACCCTCCTGCCAGTCTGTTCCCCCACTGCTGGGCCTTTCTCCACCCCAGTCCCTTCCCCCAGACATCCCAATTGACTCTTGTGGTTCCTGGGTCACTGAGGCTCAGGGGACCTCCCCAGCTCACCAGGTGACCTTGAGCAAGTCCCTCTCCCAAGCCACACCCAGTGAGTCTTGGAGGAGGAAAGCTGAGAGGAGCTGGGCTGGGCCTGGCTGTGAGGACATCCAAGGGCAGGCTCAAGGTGTCTGCAGAAGAGGAGGGGCCAGTGCTGAGGTTGAGATGGGAAAGACTCCAGTTGCTGGAGCCTGAGTGTCTGGCTCTGGGATGGGAAGGATAGAGCCAGGCGAGGGGCGGGCACCAAGGCCTGAAAATGGAGCAAGGGTGGGGGCCAAGGCAAGCCCTGAGCTGGCAGGGAGTCAAGAAGGTCACAGGATCAGAGCAGGGACTCAGGTGTCTCTGAAGCCCTGGAGAGGGGGCTGACCTCTGAGCTACCTTACCCTCAGGTGTGTCAATGCCCCTCCCTTGAGCAAGGGCTGGCCAGGCCTACTGGCTGGAGGGTGGGAACAGAAAGACAGCTTCCACTATGCTGCCAGCTGGGACCTGTGCCAGGCCAATGGACCCACTCCCCCTGATTCCTCCCCCACCATGACCATTCCAGGCTCAGCAGCCAGTCCCCAGGGGGTAGGCCACCTTGCCCTGGCCAGCTCTATGTTGGGAAGTTGGTGCCTGTGTCTTTAAATTCTCAGCAGGTTGAAACGGCTGATGACATCACTGGTTCCCGGGAGCTAGCAGAGGAGCTGGAGCCCAAGGGAACCCGGGCTGCTGGGGGCTGCAGACATGGAGGGCCAGGGCATCAGTGGCAGCGGGAGGCCGGGGACCCAGGCTGGCCTGGGCCCCCTGCCCATGCCCCATGGGATTTCCCAAACTGGGGCACCCTCCAAGGTAAGACCCCTAAATCCTAGTTCCCCCATTCCTGATCCTTAATCCCACACCCCCCCACATACTGCAGGCACCCTGGTGCCCCAGCTGAGGGGCTGGCACTCTCCTCTGCCCACCAAGCAGGGACTGGGCAAACAGGGTACCCTAGGGGCTGAGGGGGTAGTGATGGGACACTCAGAGAGAGATGGAGTTAGCTGTCTCCAGGACCTCCTGGGAAAGCCCTGGACCAGGTATCAGGGGACCCAGCTGTGCTCCAGCTTTGCTATGTGACCTTGGGCAAGTTGCTTGTCCTTTCTGAGCTAATGCAAAATGAGGAGGCTTGTCCCTGAAGACTGAAACTGTGACATCTGGGATGTCTAAGTTGTTAGTGCTGGAGGCGGTGTGTGTTTGGGGTGGGGGTTTGGAGTGGGACACTAGGAACCAAGGAGGATGCCCAAAATGCAAGCCTCAAAGATCTGAGTTTGGGGACAGAGGTGGAGGCAGAGTTTCAGATTCTCTGAACCAAGCAGGACACGGGATGCAGACAGAACTGCATCTCTGGAGGCAGGGATGGGGCCACCCCAGGGTGAATGTAAACCTTCGTCTACCCTCCCTGGCAAGGGACACTTTATCCTGACTTCTGGAGACAGGGGCATCAGACAGGGACAGATGGGAAAGGAAGAGGAGGTCCTTGCAGGGCCCCACACCCCCCACTCCACCTGCTGGACATAAAGAGGATACCTGCTTGCCTGTCCTCACAGGTGGGGTGACAACGGTAAGAGGGTACAACTTGTGCACAGTGGTGCGGCGCCAGGATCAACAGAATCCTGGACTTGCTCTGGGTGTTAGAATCACACTTGGGAGGAATGACTATTCCATGGAGCTCAAATGGAAGCCTAGCAAATTTTGGCTCATACATGCAGAGGATATGAGACCTAGGCTTCCCAGGATCAGGTGTGGCCAGGGATCCTTCACCAGGGTCCTTCATTTTAAGACAGGGAAACTGAGGCCCTGGGCAGGGAAGTGCTTGCCTCAGGTCACACAGAGCTGGGCTGGGAATCGACATGGCCAGTCCCAACCCAGGCTCTTGCTCCTGCACGGAGCTCTAGGAATGGGTGACGAGGACAGAGAGGGCTGTGACCAAGGAATTGGGACGTGGCGGGGGGAACCTGAGGGTTCCTGTGTACTGTGGAGGAAAGGGGGTGGTGTTTAACAGGCTGGCCCCAGGGTGTCCTGAGTGGGAAGATCTGGGGGGGTCAGATCAGTAGCCCTTGGCTAGGGGAGCAGCAGGGACTGCAGGGGTGGGCGGTGCTCAGGGAAGCTGACTCCAGCCACCCAACACTCCAGGGTGGCCAGGGAGTGGGTACCAGCCAGGAAGGCAAGGAGAGCCCTCAGGTCCAGGCTCACACTCTGCCTCCTTTGAGTTGGGGGTCTTAGTTTCCCCATCTATGAAAGAGGTGTCACAGGTGAGGGAGGGGATAGGTTTCCATGTCCTGTTTCCTCCAAAAGAGAAGCTGATTCACAGCAGAATGGATTGAGGTGAGAAATTATGAAGAACTTCCTCAAAAAGATGTGCCTTTCTTAGCTAGACAGAGTCTGCTGGGGTCTATATGGAAGTGGAGGCCTGGTTAGGGTTGACTCTGAGTCTCTGACTTGTCCTATCCAAGATGGACTCACGTTTTCAGCTCTCAGCAAAGGAGAATGCAGCACCAGTATGCTCGGAACCAAGGTTGGCTCTGACACCTGTGGGGCCACCAGCAGCAATGCCATCTTCCTCAAAGGGGCCAAGCCTGGCTCTGGCGTCTCCCCGACCCATCCTGGCTCCAATGTCTACCCCTGGAGAGCAGAAGACAACTCCTGCCCATCGCAGCTCCAGACTGGCTCCAACACCTGTGGGCCATTTGGTGGTGTCTGCCTCGGCTGGGCCGAAGCCTCTTCCAGCTACCCTGGGGCCCAGGCTGGCTCCACTGTCCAGGGACCAGAAGCAGGTGCCACCTGCCTCCATGGGACCCAAGCCAGCCCTGGCTGCTTCAGGCCTGAGCCTGGCCGTGGCATCTGAGAAACAGCCCCCACAGCCCCCCTCCAGCTCTTCCCCAGTGCCCAGTCCAGTTCTGTCACCCTCTCAGGAACAGGCCCTGAATCCAGCATCCATGACATCAGCCCTGGCCTCTGTGGGATGGACACCAGCTAAACAGAGGGATGCCCCAGCCCCTAGACCTCTCTCCCCTTCAGAAGGGCATCTCCAGCCCCCCACTCAGACATCTGGTCCTGTGGGCTCCCCATCCTTGATTCAAGCCCCCCCAGACCCTCGGATCTCCCCCTCCTTCAGAGCCCGGCCTGAGGCCCCCCGCAGCAGCCCTGAGGATCCTGTCCTGTCCCGGACACCACAGACTCTGCCCCTGGATGTGGGCCAGGGTCCTCCAGAGCCTGGCACTCGCTCCCCCGGACTTCTCTATCCCACCTTCCGGCCAGGGGCCCCCTTAGCCCAGACTTTGCCCCCACCTCTGCCCAAGCCACCCCGATCTCCCAGCCGCTCCCCCAGCCGCTCCCCAAACCGCTCCCCGTGTGTCCCCCCAGCTCCTGAGATGGCCCTCCCCAGGCCTGGCACCCAGGGTGCCGGGCCTGGTGGGCATCTGAGCCCCAACCTTCAGCCCAGAGAAACCCCAGCCCCTCTTACCACCTCCTCTTCTACATCCACCTCGTCATCCTCCTCTTGGTCAGCTCAGCCCACCTGCAAGAGCGACCCTGGCTTCTGGTGAGGGGCCCTCTCCCAAGACATTGCTGGGGCTTGAACTCTAAGACTAGCCATCCTTCTAGGGTGGCTTACCCTACTCCACCCCAGCTGACCTCCCTGAGGAAGATTCCCTGTGGGTGTTAGGCCCACTCTGGGGCCCTCGGAAGACAGCATCCTCTCCTAAGGGACTTGCCTACCCCGCCTCAGTTGATCTCCCTTGGAAGTCTGGTGGAAGGGACCCTGGGCCCACTGTGGATCCTTCTGAGGGCTTATACTCAAGCTTATTTCCCCAGAAAAAGCCCTGTGGGAGGGAGGTTGAGGGTAAGAGAGTGGTCCCCAGTAGTAACCCCTTCTGTACCCCCACCTCCCCAGGATCACTGTGGTCACATGGAACGTGGGCACCGCCATGCCCCCCGATGATGTCACATCCCTCCTTCACCTGGGCAGCAGCGATGACAGTGACAGGGCAGACATGATCGCCATAGGGTGAGGGGACAGGGCGAGTAGACTCCCTCCTGAGCCCCTCCTGCCTCCCAGACCCTCTCCCACGGGAGGGGTTTCTAGGGCGCCCCCCCCAATCCGAAGGCCGCCTCACAGTCCCCCACAGGTTGCAGGAAGTGAACTCTATGATCAACAAGCGGCTCAAGGACGCGCTCTTCACCGACCAGTGGAGCGAGCTCTTCATGGACGCACTGGGGCCCTTCAACTTCGTGCTGGTAACTCCTCCCTCAACCCCCGGGCAGGTGGAGACCCCTGGATTACTCGGCCCTAGCTCTGCCTTGATTCACCGTGGGGCTCGCTGGGCCTCGGTGGCCGGGTCCATGAAATGGGAAGATGGAAGGGCAGACCTTTAAGAACCGGAAAAGGCGAGGGCGGGGGCGGGGGAGTTGTGTCCTGCCTCTCAGCCTCCTCACGCCTCTGCTGCAGGTGAGTACTGTGCGGATGCAGGGCGTCATCCTGCTGCTGTTCGCCAAGTACTACCACCTGCCCTTCCTGAGGGATGTGCAGACTGATTGCACGCGCACTGGCCTGGGTGGCTATTGGGTGAGCGTGGAAGCGGCCTGGGAGGGTACAGGGCCCTAAGGGATCCGTAGATTAGTCCCCGGACCCCCGCGTACTGGCAATATCCCCTCCCCAAGCTACACCCCTTACTCTGAGGCCTGCCTCTCCCCACCCACCCCCACCCCTCGTTTTCTAGACCCCGCCCCTTTCTGTCCCCGCCCCTCCTATTGTTCCACTCCTTTCCCTAGAACCCACCCCTCTCCACACGTCCACGGGTCCTGGGCCTCACCCGCTGACCCCGCCCACCCTAAGCCCCGCGGGCCTCACCTCCTAGCCTAGGCCCCGCCCATAACCCACCCAACCTTGTTTCCCAAGGGCAACAAGGGTGGAGTGAGTGTGCGACTGGCCGCCTTCGGGCACATGCTGTGTTTCCTGAACTGCCACCTGCCGGCCCACATGGACAAAGCGGAGCAGCGCAAGGACAACTTCCAGACCATCCTCAGCCTCCAGCAGTTCCAGGGGCCTGGAGCTCAAGGCATCTTGGATCACGAGTATGGGCCGGGGCGGGACCTAATGGGGCTTGGGCGGGGCTAGTGAAGTAGGGGTGGGACTCAGGGGCGAGACCTGTGCGCCTAGTGGGGAGAGGCGGGGCCTATGGGGGTGGAGACCACCCACACTATAGCTAGGAACAAGAAAGCTGGTAAGTTTGATGGGGAGGTGGAGCCTGCAGGGTGGAGCTTTGCTGAGGGGCAAGGCCTTGCTAGGGGTCGGAACCTAACTTCTAGGTCTACACCCCCTGCTGCTCCGTGGTGGGCTGGCGGCCCTGCAGCAACCCACCCACCCTCTACGTCATCACTAGGAGCAGCTGTCGGGTTGGATGGGGGCAGAGAAGGATCTGGGCTGGGCTCTTCACCCCCATGGACCCCGCTGACCCCCACCTCCGAACAGCCTCGTGTTCTGGTTCGGGGACCTGAACTTCCGCATCGAGAGCTACGACCTGCACTTCGTCAAATTTGCCATCGACAGCGAGCAGCTCCACCAGCTCTGGGAGAAAGACCAGGTGGGGAATCCCAGCCTGGACCCCAAAACCCCAAGCACACAGAACATGCCCTAGGACCACCTGTACCCTAGGCTATGGTCCTTGCCCTCACCTGCCCTGCCCAAGCTCTTGTCCAATTCTGTGCTTCTGGACCCTCACAGCTCAACATGGCCAAGAACACCTGGCCCATCCTGAGGGGCTTCCAGGAGGGGCCCCTCAACTTTGCGCCCACCTTCAAGTTTGACGTGGGTACTAACAAATATGATACCAGGTGAGCTCAGAACTGGGATGAGAGGTGGGGATGTGGGCTGAGGTCTTCTGGATAAGGGAGACAGGAAAGAGAGACAGGAGGCAGAGGTGCCTTGACCCCCAACCCCTGATACTCAGCCTACCCTTGCCCACCGCAGTGCCAAGAAGCGGAAGCCAGCCTGGACAGACCGTATCCTGTGGAAGGTCAAGGCTCCAGGTGGAGGTCCCAGCCCCTCAGGACGGGAGAGCCACCGGCTCCAGGTGACCCAGCACAGCTACCACAGCCACATGGAATACACTGTCAGCGACCACAAGCCTGTGGCTGCCCAGTTCGTCCTGCACGTGAGTCCTGGCCTCATCCTCCCCGCATGACATCCCCAGGCCCAGCTCAGCAACCCACTGCCCACCGGTAACCCCTTAGACCTGCCCTCAGCAGCATCCACTTGTCACAGCAGACTGGGAATGGGATTATGATCTCCATTATTTATGTGCGATGCCATGCGGTATGTGCGATCTTAGTTCCCGGACCAGGGATCGAACCCATGCCCCCTGCATTGGGAGCTCAGTCTTAACCACTGGACCACCGGGGAAGTCCTATGATCTCCATTTTCAGGTGAAAATTCTGAGGCCCAGGGACACAGCACCCCTTGCCCCGGGTCACATGGCTACTAAAGGGAAGATTAGGATTTGCACCCTGGCTAGTCTGATTTCAAAGGGTATACCTTTTCCACTAATCTCTATTTCCCCTTTTCTGAGAAAGGCTAGGGCAACTTATGTTAAAATTCACATATATAATAAGACCAGCCACGAAAATATTTACTCAAATCCCATGTAGCATTCATTCACATTCTTTTATTATTTTTTTACCATCTTACCATATGTGATGGGGAGGGGGAGTAGAGATACAAAAAAATACAAAGCTAAACCCTATATAGTTACTATAAAATTTAGCATTGTGTTTAGGATTTTTTTAATTATAAATTTTTATTGATTTATGTATTTATTTTTGGTTGCGTTGGGTCTTCTTGCTGCACGCAGGCTTTCTCTAGTTGCGGCGAGCGGGGGCTACTCTTCATTGTGGTGTGCGGATTTCTTATTGCAGTGGCTTCTCTTGTTGCGGAGCTCAGGCTCTAGGCATGCAGACTTCAGTAGTTGTGGCGCATGGACTTGGTTGGTTGCTCCATGGCATGTGGGATCTTCGCACACCAGGGCTCGAACCCGTGTTCCCTGCATTGGCAAGTGGATTCTTAACCACTGCACCACCAGGGAAGCCCCTGTGTTTAGGATTGGGGCTCCTAGCTGCCAAAGGAAAAAGGGGAAATCCGAGAATGTCAGAACTGGATCTTAGAGACCATGTAGTCCAACTTTCTGTTAGTGGGGTAGGCATGCGCCCCAAGTTGCACACAGGCTCAGCAGCAGAGTGGGGTGGAGCCCAATTTCCAGTCCTGAAACTCAACCCTGGGCTCTCCGATTCTCTTGATCTGATAAGAGGGAGCCCAGCAGACCAGAGAATGTTTTCCCTGCTAACTTTGTCATATGGTCAGTCAGAGGGACAGTGGCCAATGTCCTCAGCTGGGAATGGAAATCTGCCCGTGTCTGGCCTCCCATGACCTTTGGTAAAAGCCTTGGGTGTGAGGTTTAACCCCCAATCAGGGACCTAACCTTGAGAACCACTCCTTTTGGGTGCCCTATCCTTCCCTCCTTATCTAGAACCCTGTCTCTTGTAAAACATTACCTGTTGAGCACCTACTATATGCCAGAGCCTGTGTAGCCTACTTCATGTATGTCATCCCTTTGAATACTGTGGTAGGCCCTGAGGATGTCTAAATTCTCCTCCCAGTTTTACTGATGAGAGAAACAGAGGCTCAGAGAACTTAAATCTCTTATCCAAAGCAACACAGCACAGGACTCAGCAGGAGTTTTGACCCCACAAGGCCCTAAAGGGTATTTCCAAGAGCGCAACCTGGCCAGACCTGTTGTTAGGAACCCACAGGCAGGGAGAGGATGTGCTGGTTTCTTCTGGAGCAGCTTGGCTTAGAAGCTGAGGAGGGAGAGAAAGTTGAAACCAGATAAACAGGGAAGCAGACAAAGCCTGAGGCTGGCACCACCGAGTCTTTCCCTGAGGGACAATACCCTGGCCAATACCCTGGCCAATACCCTGGCCACCTGCCACCCCAGCAACCCCATCCACAAGGTGAACCCCTGCTCAGCCTGGGGTGACCCTGGGAAGAGAAGATTCTTTTGTCTCCATGGACTGATGACAAACAAGGTTAATAGTGGTTCCTTAATACAGGTGGGGAAACTGAGTCTTACTTAGCCTGATGAGGGGCTTACCTGAGGTCATGAAGCAGGTTAGTAGCAGAGCCTGGACGGTCTCCAGCCATCTACCCATAGCTCTTCTTGCCTGCTCATGGGTGTTCACTTTACTCCAGAATATCCAGTGCATCATGGGACTCCTTTGTTAGCTTATAGGCAAGTCATTCATTGAGCACCTACTGTATACTGAGAAGTTTATAGGATGCTTTATATGGTATCTCATTGAATCTGCAGAGCAACCCCAAGAGTTAAATAAGATCATCAGAGTTTAAGGACAGGAGCCCTTCTATTCAGAGAGGTCAAGAAACTCACCTTGGGTCACACTGCATAACAATGGCAGAGCCAGGGCCAAACCCACAGTCTACTAAGCTTCAAAGCTGTGTTCTCACTCACTCCCTAAGGAGGCTAAGGACAAAAAGAGCCCTGAGCTGGGAGGCAGGAAACCTGGCATTCATCCTAGACCTGTTCTTCCTCAGTTTCCCAGCCTGTGCAGTGGCATCAAAGGCCCTTCATCTCAGCCAATTTGTGCCGACGCAGGCCCAAGGACTCTAGGTGCATAGAATGCTAGAGGGTCTCCCCTGATGTTGCCCCCTGCCCCTGGGCAGTTTGCCTTCAGAGACGAAGTGCCGCTTGTGCGGCTGGATGTGGCGGACGAGTGGGTGCGGCCGGAGCAGGCTGTGGTGAGGTACCGCATAGAGACGGTGTTCGCCCGCAGCTCCTGGGACTGGATCGGCTTGTACCGGGTGAGACGGGCAGGGGTGGTCGGTACATCGGGGGAGGAAGGGCCTGAAGGGCAGCCAGGGACCCATGTGGGGTCCCTGGCTTCCCCAGAGTTTAAGGCTGCTGGGGTCAGACCTTAGGGGTCACAACCCTGATTGCTCTCGCCCCAGGTGGGTTTCCGCCACTGCAAGGACTACGTGGCTTATGTCTGGGCCAAACACGAGGATGTGGATGGGAACATCTACCAGGTACTTAAGGGGAGGGGGAGAGTGGGAGGAAGTCCCCATTGCCCTTGGGGGCTCAGGATTCAGCTTGAAGGGTCCTGAGGCTGCCTCCCTCACCCCAACCTGGGCCTAAACCCCCTGGCCCACCAGGTGACATTCAGTGAGGAGTCACTGCCCAAGGGTCACGGAGACTTCATCCTGGGCTATTATAGCCACACCCACAGCATCCTTATCGGGGTCACTGAGCCCTTCCAGGTAAGTAGGCCAGGCTGCAGGGTCAGGGGCGCCAAAGGAGTATTCAAAGTCCTCTACAGCTTCTACATTCTGTTCTGTGACCTCCTACAAGTATCCTGACCTTCCTGGGTCTGCCAAGGGGGAGGGCAGGAGTGGTTCCCAGAGGCCTCAGTGGCCGGTTGGGGAGAGGGGCACCCCAGTGACCAGCCTTCCCCCCAGATCTCACTGCCTACCTCGGAGCTGGCCAGCAGCAGCACAGACAGCTCGGGTGCCAGCTCGGAGGACGAGGATGACAGCACCCTGGAGCTGCTCGCATCCAAGTCCCGCAGCCCAAGCCCTGGCAAGTCCAAGCGGCACCGTAGCCGAAGCCCAGGTCTGGCCCGCTTCCCCGGCCTCGCCCTGCAGCCCTCGTCCTGTGAACGCCGTGGCACCAGCCGAAGCCCCTCGCCCCAGAGCCGCCGCCTTCCTCGGGTAGCCCCCAACGGGGGCAGTGATGGTGGCAGCCGGGGCAACAGTGAGGAGGGGCCCCCTGGGCTGCCTGGGTCCTGGGCCTTCCCACCATCTGTGCCTCAAAGCCTGGGGTTGCTGCCTGCCTTGCGCCTAGAGACCGTAGACCCCGGTGGTGGCAGCTCCCGGGGACCCAATCGGGAGGCCCCGGCCCCCGACAGCCTGTCTCCCAGCCCCCAGGGTCAGCAGGGCCTGGAGGAAGGGGGCCTGGGGCCCTGAGGGTGAGGTGGGCAGGCAGGCCCAGGTGGCCCCCTGGGGCTCTGCCCCAATCTTCTGCAAACCCACCTGCCTCCCTCCTGCTGCTGCTCCAGCTTTATGTGCACCTGCCACTCTGTTCTGGCCAGGGGTGGCCAACTGGGGTTCCCCAAACCTGGTCCTGGCACCTCAACTGTGACAATCAGCAAACCCCTATCCCAGCCCCCATCTGGGATGGGGGAGCAAACCTAGAGGTCATCAATTAGGAATTAAATTCTCCAGCCTCACTCCTGACTTCTTCCTAACTTGTTAGCAGTCTAGGGTTGGGGGCAGTCAGAGGAAGGGACTAAAGAGATGAGAGGATGACAGATCTGACAGTTACCAGGCACCAGCTGTATACATTACACATGCCATGTCCTTTAAGCTGCACCACAAGTTGTGGTGTTGAGTTCAGTGTAGTTCTTAGCTCCATTTCACAAGTGAGCAAACTGAGACCTCCAAGCGGTTATGTGAACCTTTAAAAATCAGATGCCTAGGGCTTCCCTGGTGGCTCAGTGGTTGAGAGTCCGCCTGCCGATGCAGAGGATATGGGTTCGTTCCCTGGTCCGGGAAGATCCCACATGCCGCGGAGCGGCTGGGCCCGTGAGCCATGGCCGCTGAGCCTGCGCGTCCGGAGCCTGTGCTCCGCAACGGGAGAGGCCACAACAGTGAGAGGCCCGCGTACCGCAAAAAAAAAAAAGAAAAAAATCAGACGCCTAAGCACAGTTTGGCTGTGTGCTGGAGGGAGGGAACATTTACTAGGTGCTGAGTGCTGTCCGTGAGTTGGTTCGCTTAATCCTCAACAACCCTGTGAGGTAGGTCCTGTTTACACTCCTCTTTTTCAGACGAGGAAACTAAGGCTCAGAATGAAGGAGGTCTCTTGCTTAAGGGCACGGGGGAGATCTGAATTTAGGTCTAGGGCAGAAAGAATGGGCCAGGGCTGGGACAGGAAGAGCATAGGAGCTGTTAAGAGAAGGGGTCCCCTGGGGAGGTGAGTTGGGAAGCCCCTTTCTAGCTTCCGCCACCCTGGATTCAGACACAGTCACTTCTGTGACATCCCTCATTCCCCACCTGCTGCCCTAGACCTCAGCAGGCAGACGCTGGGGCTTCCCTGGGCAAGATCTTGAGACATGCATTAATTTTGCAACATAGACATATATGTACCTCCTCCTGGTACCTCCTGGGGCTGCTGCAATGTTACCTTCTCCCCATTCCCATCTGGATGTTAATTTCTCTGGGAAGGCCCAAGCCTGGGGCAGCAGAATGAGCCTCCTGAATACCACATCCAAGCACAGAGGGGTTGTGTCACCAGCCCAAGATCACCCAGCGCAGCAGGAGACGTGGTCCAGCATTTGGGTCTTGGCCCCCCCACCCTACCCATGCAGCCCTCTGGCTATCCACAAGAGCCCGTCCATGCTTCAGTCTAACACGTGGAGGGGAAGCTGAGACCTCCAGGGCCTAGCAAAGCCAGGGACGAGGTCCAGTCTTGTGCCCAGGAGAGCTGGAACTGAGGTCACTGGTTCCAGGATTTCTGCTGTCCTTCAGGTCCTCCGGCTCCCTGGGTCAGCTGCAGACACCGGTCATAGAATGACATGGGGGCCTTTGGGTGCTCTGAAGTCCATGCCTGCCTGTTGTCTGTGCCTGTCCCCTGGAGCTGGAGTTGCCTCTGCTGAAGTTGCTGCAGGTGCCGAGCTGACACCTTGATGGCCCTGGGGTCTTTGGAACAGCTGTGAGGAGAGAAAAGTGGGGCAGGTGGTCATAACTGCCAAGAATCCCACCCTACTCTGCAGAGAGGGTGACCAAGGCCCAGAGAGGAGCAGGGCTGGGGCTGGGAGGGTGGGGGACTGTTACACCTAGCAGGGGGCAGGATAAACCTGGGTTGGCACCCAGAGGCCCAGGTTCTGCCACTAGCTGGCTGCAGAAACCTGGGTCAGTCTGGGCCTCAGTTTCCCTACCTGTGAAATAGGAAAAGTAACAGAGTTAGCTTTGAGAATCAGAATTGAAATGAAATTGTGGATTATGGGGTAAGAGTTAAGCAGGTGTTTTACTATGTGTCCTGCAGGCCTTGGCCTATGTACGTCACACACACCACTTCCTTGGCTTCTACCTCCATTTTATAGGTAAGGAAACAGGTGTGGAGAGGTTATTCAGCTTGCAAGGTCACATAGGAAGTAAATGACAGAGTTGAGATGCAACCTACATGGGCCAACTGCAGAGCCGAACCCAGGGATGATGACAGTGGAGCTCAGAGGTCCCCTGACCGCCTCCATCACCCTCTCAGCCCAGGTGCACAAAGGGAGCAGAGGCAACCCACCCCTTGGGAAGTCCCCCATCTCTCCTGGCCCTGATGTCACTTACCCTTTGCCCTCAGCACAGTCCAGTGGAGGGGCCAGTTTGAAGCAGGTCATGCCCAGCAGCTCCCAAAGTATGTTGGCGTCCACAGGTGGGCTGTGGAGCCTCAGGAAGCGTGCCAGACTGAGGACAGAGGCAGACTCAGGCTGGGGCAGGGCCTCATCAGCCAGGTGTCCCTTCCCAGTGCCTGGCAACAGGCAGCCCACCCCCAAGGGTCCAAGCAGCCTCACCGGCGCGTGCAGTTGCAGTGGAAGAGGGGTTCACGGGCATCGTTGAACAGCTGGAACTTGGTTTTCTGGGGCCCGATCTGATGCTCACACTGGTCCAGGCGGCGGAAGCCGCGGCAGGCCTGGCGGGCACCTGGGGGCAGGTGTGGTGGTGAGAGGAGCCCTGTCCGATGCCCACTGCCATCCGGCACACATGCTGTGTCCCACACACACAGTGTCCCTCCATCTCATGCCCTTTGTGCCTTCAGAGTGCCTCACACATAGGAGACGCGTGCACGTGCACACACACACACGGAGCAGTGCTGCCATGGGGAAGCCCAGAGAGTCGAGAGTGGTCAGAAAAGGTTTCCTGGAGGCAGAGGCTCCTAAGCTGAGGCTGGAAGAGGGGAAGAGTCAGGGAGAATTCTCCAGGCAGCAAGAAGAGCATGTGCAAAGGCCCAGCAGTGGGAGAGAGCAAGTGGCTTTAGAAGAACCAAATGAAGTTTGTGGAACTGGAGTTTCGACTGGGGAGTAGGATCTGCAGGACCAGACTCGACAACCCCTGGGTGTTGGGACATCATGGTGGGGCCTCAGCGAGGAGTGCCATGGACAAGTTTGGAGCTTACAAAAATCCCTCTGGCTGTAGCACGAGAGAGGTTGGGAGACCCCAGAAGGAGCTCAGAGCAGGAAAGGAAGCAACCCAGGGGCCCCCCACCCTGAACAGAGTCAGGGACACCTCCTTACAACAGGAGCCCCCAAGGTTAGGTTCTGAGCTCACCTTGAGGTTTTAGGCCACGCCATAGTCCCTGGAGGCCTGAATCAGTGACCTCCAGCTGGACTATGGAGGCCACATCAGGCCCAGCGGAGGCCACAGGGGCCTGGAGGGCTGTGGCATTGGCTTGGCTGGGGTACTCGGACTCTTTCTGCTGTGCTGGCCACTTCTGAGGGTGCTGAATCCACCGAGGCTTGCTGGGTGCTGGGTTCTGAGGACTGGGAGTCAGGGGAATGGCAAGGGAGCTCCAGGAGGCATTGTAGAAGGTCCTGGGCTGGAGACGGGCGAGGGATACAGAGCCATATGTTCTACACCTGGGAGGTAGCACATGGTGGCAATTGGTAACCCAGAATCCCCCCTCCCAGAAGTCCCCAGGTTCATCTCCATGGAGATCAGGGCTCTGCCAGTCCCACCCCTCATCCCACATCCCACTGGGTCCTGCAGGGCACCCAGGGAGCATCTGCATCCTGGGCCCAACCCTGAGGAGAAGACAGGGAGGACGAGGCATCATTCCCTGGAGGACAGACATACAGAAAGGCTTCCCTCCCAGGTTTGGAGCCCGAGCTCCCCACTGGCCGGGAAGGGGCTCGAAAGGGGCAGCCACATACCCGCCCCACCAGTACCACTCCACACAGGCCTCCTGGTCCTCCAGGACGAAACAGGGGATCGCCAGCACGTTGAAGAAGGCCACGCCCACGATGTCAGAGATGGAGTCCCGCTGGTTATGCAGGCACTGCTGGAACCTGTCCCAGAGCCAGCACTCAGGTTCCTGGACCACAGAGAGCTACTGGCTCCTCTCCCAGACCACCTGGTCACTACCAGCCAGGTGATTTGGGGTCCAAGTGTCCCCTCTCCTGTTAGGCCTCAGCTTTCCCACTGCACAGTGGACTCCGGCTGGCTGATCCTTTAGGATTCTCTGGAATCCCAGACTCTGCACCAGGTAATCCCGGTGGATAATCCCACCCCAAGTTCCCAGCCCTCCCTGCCCACCACCAACCTGGCATCACAGTTGCAGTGGGAGATGGTGTGGAGTCGGTAGTTTCGGATGCCATAGTTGTACTGGAAGGGTGAGACAGTCTGTGGGCAGCGGTCGTGTTCCTGGCAGCAGAGATCGGGGCCCTGGAAGACCCCTGCAGGGAGCGGAGGGGGCACCAGCTCAGCAGGGTCGTGAGCACCACATGCCGGCTATGCCCGCGTGGTGTTGGGAGCAGAGACCTCGTTCTCATCCCAGCCCTGATACAGATGACCTGGGTTGCCTCAGGCCTCTCCCTGTGGGACTCACAGTTCCAAAGCTTGAAGAGAACACCCAGGTACAGCCTTTGTTGGGCAATTCCAAGTGCCAGGCAGCCCACCCAGGAACCCTTGCCCACGGAAATATCTTCCTCAGGTGAACTGGTGTCTGCCTCCAGAGTTCTCGGGCTCACACCACAAATGAAACTCCAAAGTTATGAATGTGTGTGGAATGGAATGGTAAACAGCAGGGTGCAATCTCGCTGGCACAGTGAGGCATTGTCAGGATGCCAGCCTGCTCCAACTCAAGTGCCAAGTCCTCCTCCCAGCCCTCCACGTGTATGCACTGACAGCTGTACCGAGAGTGCAAAAAAGCCATGCATGTTTTTCACCACCTGAGCAATGATGCCCTTTACTGAGCATCTCCCAAATGCCTGGCACTTCCCACACCCAAGCACACAGCAGCCCTGGGAAGGAGGTGTCACGTTTATTGTACAGGTGAGGAAACAGATTCAGAGAGGGGAGGTGACTCGTTCAGCTCGGAAGGGCTGAGCTGGGATTTGAACCCAGGCCTCCCCTCCCACTCGGCGTCCCCTCCACTGGGCACCCTGTGCCCATAAAACCTCCTCTTGGGTAATGTTTTTTTGGCTCAGCCGACCCTGGATCCACCCCAGCCAGCCTCCTTCCT